GGCCTTGCGAGGTTCCCGTCAGAGCGGCCCGGTGCTGCTGCTCTGGGACAGCCCCAGCCCGGCCTTGCGAGGTTCCCGTCAGAGCGGCCCGGCTGCTCTGGGACAGCCCCAGCCCGGCCTTGCGAGGTTCCCCTCAGAGCGGCCCGGTGCTGCTGCTCTGGCACAGCCCCAGCCCGGCCTCGGGAGAACGGACCCAGACGGACCCAGGGTGGGATCGCACCCGCTGCCCCTGCAGGCGGAGAGCAAGAGACACCCACGCCCAGCCCTCCAAGGGCAGCCGCGGCATGAGGCGGGTACTGCCGCTCTTCCCCGCGTCATAAATTAATTCCGTGCGCTTGTGTTCTGTGCTGTAACTCCCAGTGTTCTTCCTGCAGAATAGTTTATATCTGTGTTATTAACACAGTCGTCTCCACTGCAGGGCAGGAATGCTTGCAGGGAAGGCAGCAAGTGGCGGAGTTGGCATCCGTGGTGTAGGATTTGTTTTCTCTGTCATTCCTAATGGGAAAATAACACATGCAGGGATTTTTTAATTTGCTTTATAGTTACTGTTTGCTCAAAGCAGATGGCCGGTGCAGTTTCTCAACAAACCCGTGTGGATTTGTTGCTGGGCACTCAGAGAGCCCTGGAAAGATGTGAACTGCAGAGGAGGTGGGTGGCAGAGCAGCACCCTTTGGAAGCACTGTCATCCGAGGGCAGGGCTCTGGGAAGTCCAGCCGTGCCCCTGGGATGTGCAGTCCTTGCAGAACAAGAATACAGAGTAGCTTTTGGCCAGACTAGCATTTTATTTGAGTAGGGGATAGTAAAAAGTTGGTTTTGTCTCATTTATAGGAAGTTTGCACTCATGCTGGATGATTGTTTTAAAGTGTCCCTTCACACCACACATTATTAATGTTATTAATACATTATTATAAGGTAATAATTTTTCTCTATTCAAATGGAAATTATGTTGGGTAGTGGATTGAGAGGCAACAGATTAGAAATAAAAGCAAGCTGTTCTTACTTTCTATTTATGTTTAATTTTGGTAGATCTTGCTTCCTTTCTAAAGGAATGCCCCCGATTGAAGCATCATAAAGGTTTAGTTCCCAAACATTTTAGCCCGACATTTGCATTCACTTGAAAGGATTAATATTGTAAACTGAATACTTAGGAGTTCTCATTCAAAATAATGGGGTGTTTGAGGACTTCCATGAAAATATCCTAATGAAGACATTTATCCTATGCTTTTCCTACTATATGATCTGATTTTTAGAAATGCTAGTGCTAAATAGGCCTGGCTAGGCATAGCCTGTTGTGAAAAGAAGCTGGTAACGACAACCTTGGTTTTAACTTCCAATAATCAGGTTGCTAATTGCTAAGAAAACACACTCCTTCATAACTGGGCACAGTTCTACCCTTAGGTTATGGTTTTATGCAGCATGGCAAGGCAGATTAATAGTTTGCTGCCACCCAAAGGGTGAAGTCAGAGGAAAGATCCCACCTTTTTCACCATTTCCCCCTGTGAGCCGCTTTTTGCAAGCTCTGTCATCCATCAGACCCTTTTATACACAACCTTTATCTCACTATTAGCAGAAAGCATAGTAACAGACAAAAAGGCATCATTTTTGCTAGGTTATCAAGCAAAATGGGAGCATTGAAAACTCTGAGAAGTGCCAAGGCTTTAATAAGGTATGAGGCAGCCAGAATTAAAAAAAAAAAACAGCAACAAAAAAAAGCTTCACCTCCCTCTTTATGTAACAGCAAAAAGCTGTTACAGTCTTTGGTCTGCGTCCTCAGCATGAAGCTTCATCATCTACCAAAACTTAAAATTTGTAAGTTGGCGTTGATGTTCATACTTCATGCAGATGTACAAAGAAAAAGTGTATGTAGGTGATGATGGACAACAGACTCCCACTAACTGAAACACACAGAGACTCTCAGGCTTTTAAAATCCCTCATCACACTAAGACTTACTTATCCTGCTGGTGAATATGGAGAGAGGGTTGGGTGGGTTTGTGAAATCTGACTTTGAAAGGTGCTTCTGCACCAGCTGAAGAGATCTAGGAAACAAAGATTTCTTACACTAAACCTCAAAAATCTGGCATTGCCTTTTTACTATGGTTTCTCTTAAGAGGTTTATAATAAATACGATTGGGAAAAACACCCCAGCTTTACTAATCACCGTGTTGGCACGGTTCTGGTTTCAAGAAGCAGCTGTTACACCAAGGAAGGTGAAACAAGACCGAAGTGCACCCTGGTTTTGATGTACATACACCTCGCTATAGTCAGAGATCCAGGGATAGGGACCACTTCTAAATTAGCCTGCTAGGTGGTGCTGTAGGACACGCGCTACTCATTCAGGACTGTGTTCCAGTTATCTCACATTTTTTTACCGTAAGACAAAGGTACCATCATCTGTATGTATGAAACCTTGTTGCTACATTAGGAAAAATGTTGACATTTAAATACAGAACTGAAAGTCATTCATTTTGCTTAATAATTTGTGTGGTCTTGCAGTCTGTTTTGCTCATGTGATTTCCAAAGGGGAAATGTGAATGTGGTCAGTTAGTGAGTGTCCACCAGCCAAGATATAGACATGTTTCCCCTTGACATCTTCTTCCTCTATGGAGTCTATTTATCTGACTTATCTGCCCTTCTATGCAAGTTTTTCCATAATCTATCCTCTATATATAAATTTTAATGGAGGGTAGTGAGAACCTTATAATTTTGGCACAAGTTTAAACAACATTGCATGTCCCAGGTGTTAGATGAAAGAGAAATTGTGGGAGTTTGGTATTAGGAAAATACACTGTATATGTCTGAAGAGTTGCATTGCTAGCAGGAGGAGAGAGATTTCAAAGTCTGCAGGACATAGATCATCCACCAGTTACCTATGGATGCAGTCATGAAAACCAGGGAACTGGAGTGTGGACATTAGGGGTTTTACAAGACATGAGGAAAGAAGTCTGATGAAGAGCAGAGGAAATATTAGAGGGCAAAAAGATCTTGGTGTGAGATGTGTTGGCTGATCTGGGGCAGATCTTACTGTGAAGAAAGAGTGACTTGTGAGCCTGCTATTAGGTGCAGCTCCCTGGCCCACTTTTCAATATTGCTGAGTATAGTGCTTCAGTAATGAACGTGCAGAAGCAGTGTGATGCTCTGAAGCAAAACATATGCCTAGAAAGTACCTGTACTAAGGTGACTTACAATGCTCTGTGCTGGGACTGCTTCCAACTCAACAGAAAATGCATTGAAAATTCCTGTATTAAGTGACCTTTTAAGTTCTTGACAGGTGCCAAAAGGTTGAGCCTGTTCATACTTAAATAGTCATCTTACTGCACTGAAGGGGAAGAAGAGCTTGTGGCATGATGGGCTTTCCAGCCTGCCATTCTGAGCAAGTTGCCCATCTTCAAATTGCAGCAAATAGCACAGTGACAGTAGAATTGAAGTGTATGCAGCATTGAGCAAAAGCATGAAGGTGCAGCTCGTCAGATCTCAGCAGCTTCTGTTGCTGGGAAGAGAAGATAAGCAGCCAATATTGATAATATATCCTTGCATGTCCCATTCCCACTGTGCCTCTTATAGCCCCATGTGTTCCACCCATGGAACATTCATACTCACCAGCTGATGGGGAATACAACTGCAAAATTTGCCAGTATGCCAGGATTTTGCTATTGGCTCAGTTAGTACAGGTTAGAAACCACATTTTCCTTTTTGTATTGGGTTTATGGACAAGGTTTGGCTGACATGACATTCTTATGCTGATAATCAAAGCCATGTGTAAGAAGCAGTAGGGAAAAAAAAAGTTCCTGTCTCCTTGTTAAACCTCTTCTATTGAAAATTCACAACTATTTTTCTTATTACTGTTTCCTCTCAAGATGGGTGATGTAGACAAGCATAATAAAGGATAAACATTCAGAAACACAGCCATGGGAAGAGAAGAGGGAATTCTATTTCTGGTCTCAAATCAAACCTTCAAACCCCAGTATCCAAGAAGGATTAAAAAGATGACTAATTTTGTTGTTGGTATTGACAGGTATATAGATCACAGTAAAGCAGAGAGTCTTTAGAGGAGCCGGGAAGATAGTTTCTTCCTAATATGTATTCCAGCTTGGAAGTGATCAGGGATGAAAAACTAGTGTTTTAGAAGCCATAAGGAGGCTGTAAGTAATTTAGATGGCTACACAACTCTGGGACTGACTTTTCTTTCCAGAGTCTTTGAAGTATTGAACTGCTGATCCAAACCTGCCTAAACCTCAGACAGGCTCTCTGTGGCAGCAGACACAGAAAAGGGGAAATACACAGGTTTTTATCTCTTTGCTACCGCATTTTCAGATCTGGGGGCTAATTGTACAAGCTTCCTCACCTCTGTCTGGATGTACCAGAAGCTGATAGAGGGTGAGCACCCTGTGAAGTAAAAGATAAAGTCCTTCCCTCAAGCAGAACTCCTTTGAGTGTAATCATCAAAAAATCCTTGATCTGAATGTGCTTTGCAGTCTCTGCTGAGGCTAATAGACACACATCCACTTTGTTTAGGGGTGGCTATGGTGGTGCTACATTGATGGTTGGACTAGATGATCTTGAAGATCTGTTTCAACCTTGATGATTCTGTGATATCCAGGTAAACATGGGTGCTAGAGGAAAATCTGGATACCTGCATCAGAGAGCTGAGAAGCAAAACCACTTACAGATTCTGACCAAATCAATTCATGCTGAAGTCTGTGATTCTGCAAGTATTCTACTGCTATGTAAAAGTGCTTCAGGTATAGCCACATTGTACAGACAGACCCTATACCACATTGCATTTTGAATTGCATTAGTTGTATTACAGACACCATTGTCATTTGGTGAAATCAAAAGAAAACTGATAAACATAAATTCATTGTCTAGCCTGGGGTTTCTTGGCAGTGCACATGAGACAAACTGTTAACCAGGATGATTGTTCACTGTCTATATAAGAACTCTGGTCCTGCAATTAGCTAGCTCTCCTTAAAAGGAAGGTACTATAGTGAATTAGGATGTCATATCTTAATAATATAGCTAATTAGCCCCATTTCCCTTCAGAATTGGAAGAAGCATGTCTTGGGAAGGGGAGGATTCCAATTCTTAGAGGCAATGGTGTAATATTTAACAGATTGAATCATACTGTCTAACCTTGAGAATATTTAAAGTTACTGCAAAGGTAATGGTATTTGAAAGCAAGTAGAAATTGGGGCTTCACTGAGTCAGTCAGCCTAGGTGGTCACTGAGCTGTACCTCAGAAATGCTGTGACCTTCCAAGGAGGTCCTTATCACTGCAGATAAGGGTAATTTTTCCTTTCTCATTAAAAGCTATGGAGCTGTAAACAGAATACTGGCTATTCTAAAAAAACAGTACATTCTACAGTAGCAGCAGACCAGAGATTCCACTCTGCCTCAAGTCAGTTGAAGAGACATCCAAGTTCTAGGGAAGAGAGATCACTAGAAATAACAGAGTAAAATTATGAGAAAATGCAAGATGAATGTTAACATGAGATCTGTTTGGAACATTGGATTCCTATTAATTCAATCTGTTTAAGACTTGCCTTATTCGGTGTTATTACCAAAGCTCAGATTCACATCATTACTGTCTAGGAAAAGGAGACTCATGCTGATAATAGTAACAAAAGACACATTCTGTTAATGCACAAATCATTCTCTTTGATACTGGAAATCTGGCATTTTCTTTATGTTACCCTACTGATTGTCAGTTTTCCCAGTGCTTTGCTGGGGAGCTTGAAACTCAGGCCCAACCTGTTGAGTTTCTAATTCAAAAATACCTGGCTACAGTTTTTTTACCCACTTTCAAAGTGGCATCTATTTTTTTTTTCTCAGTCAGAGATCTTACTTTAAAATAGTTAAGAAAAGGTCTTTATGAGAGGATGGGATCATGTATAGCTGTAACACACAGCTTTTTTTTTTTGGACAGCATGTGTAACAGGAGGAAAATAACAGCTTCTGAGTGGGAGCTGATCAAGTCTTACATAGAGTGTGTGAAGCAGAGAGCAGCTACAGTAAACCAAAGCTGTTCTCCATAAACCAGCTGCCCTGCAAACCAGGTAAAATCTGTCTGCTTTAGCACTGTGGTATGTCTGTGTGTAGGAGGGAAGGGGTCTGATCCCACTCTGTTCTTGGGAAAACATGTTCAGCCACTGAACCGTCCATGTTTCTATTGCATCAGTCACTTAAGGATCTTCCAGTACTTTAAGAAACTTTTTAAAATGTTCTTCAGACTGCACAGATCTCTGAGACTGCACATCATGCAGCTTTATATACGACTGGATCAACTCATATATGCTTGTAAATTAATTAAGTTTTGAAGAGATCCCCTCTCAGCTAAAAAGTCTAAAGAAAGCAGTATCACCCTGAGAAACCCATTCCTGTTTAAGCAGTAAATTTGGTTTGGAACAGATAGGTTTATTTACATGGTTTATGAGCATCTCTTTAATCAAATACTAGCTTTCCAGGTCAATAGCTTTTTCAGGATAGTTGCTAAAGGGAAATCTGGGTACTATAATATCAAGTTTGCTTATACATCTACTGCCACTCCAATTATATATTGCTGATGATGCCTAATGAAGCTAGAGCTACATACAATTTCCTATAGCTGGCTTGCAGCATAAGCATCCCAATCTGAAGGTAAGGTCTAAAGATGTTGTGAGTGCCTTTTAAAATAAGCATTGAAGACCTACACAGCTGATGTAGTTGCTACATACAGTCATACCAGAACAAATTTTTATGTTGTCTTCCAAGAGCTGCCCAAAACTAAAATTATTCAGATCTCAGTACTGAAAAGTGAAGGACCACAGGCCCAGTGTCATTTAAAGTGATAAAGCATTTTCATAGTATAAAAGAATTCTTCTGGATTTTTTCACATCCTACAAATAACTCTACATGAGAAGAAATAACCATGAAATCCAGAGACAAACTTCAACCCAACCAGCATCCTATGAAAGGGAATGTACATTGGTTTGCAGAAAACAGTTTTGTTTCAGAATCTGTTGTTTGTATCAGTGGTGTTATATCCTCTTCAAGCCTCCTCACTTGTTAATAAAACCCAAAGTAGAAACGGTTGTTTTTTCCCCAACTGAAGGTATTCTCCACATTAAATTATAAACAAGGGACTGAGAAAGTTGGTGGACTATAGTGAGGATAAAATTCTAGGAGCAGATAAACAAGTATGAAACTCTATGACAAAGAATATGCAAGGCAGGAACCTGTGGTTGTTAGACCACATCTGCAAAAGGCTATTAGCACAAGTTTACATTTGTAGGGAAGATGCAGGGATAACTGATAAGCCACATTCTGAAACACAAGTTGATAAATGCCAAGAATACTTCTGATGAATGCAAACCAATATCCCTGCTAAACTGGAGCTGATAACAGCGATGGAACAGTTGAATCTGGAGGATCACATGGAACCCGTCAAACTGGAGAGTCAGTCAAAACATTGGAAGCTGCGTTTGAAGGAGCAGTCTACATGATCCATAAAACCAAAGGAAAACTTAACATGTATTAAGATAACTACTTACTGGATAGCTTGTCATAGATAATTTAGTGCTAAAAACAAAGTCAGGAGCAGCCATATAAAGCGCAACAGATAGCCAAAGTGGTTTTCAGAGAGTAACTTCACAGGTGAGGGACAACATCTAAGAACCAGGCAAGAAGGAATCAGTGTGTCCACAGCTCGAAAACAGAAAAAAAAAAAATCAAAAAGCATATCTCTTTCTGTCACATGATTTCCTCATGCAAAGTTAACAGATTTAAGCTTAGGAGAAATTTCAAAACAGCACTGTAACCAGCAAGAGCTGACTGTAGTTTTTACAGATCCCTCTGATACCATGATTTTATACACGTAGATATCAACATTCCATCCACTGAAGGGTTACAGGACAGGAAGACTGTTCCTGAGTATTCTTGGAGACCATTCAGGTACTTGTTTTTGCTCCATGCAAAGGAAGAACTGGAATGAACAATTTACATGAAAACACATACACAGACAGAAACCATAGTAAAGACCAAAAAAAAATATTTAAAAAAAAAATAAATTAACAAACCTGTTTGTCCTCCAAGTCTATCCTCAGTAAAGCAGCAAGTCAGGAGCAGTGTGAAAAGATTCATTTTTACAACAACCAGCAACACAGGGAGGGAAAAAAACACCCCAGTATCAAAAACAAGCAAAACCACCCTTTCTTCCAAAACAGACTTAATTAACTAGGAACTTCTCCCTCCCACCTATATGTACCCCAGGTTAATTGATTCATTGCATGATCCAGGCCATCTGAGTCTTGTTTCCTTTCTAACCTGCAAATTTATAAACATTAAGGACCATTTATAAAGATATGAACAGCACTAGTTAGCCATTTTACACAAAAATCAAGATCTCAATTGTGTGTATACTGTTAGTTTCAAGAAAGTCTAATAAAAACTCTAAACCTGAAAACCTTATTCTGTTAATGACCACAACGACAGTGTAGTCTTGGCAGACCTTCTAGCCAAAAAGTCCCTGTGCCTGAATGGTTCAACCCGCTCCTTTCATCTTTTATTTGGCCACTATATATCTTGCTTTACTTTGTGAAGCTGCCTATGGTACAAAATGTAGGCTAAGTGCGATCTGAAATAAAGCTGCTTATTGTACAGAGGATGCCAAAATTATTAGCTCTGCATTTTAATGAGGAGATGCTTGATTTCTGTGCCACTGGGATTGCAGGAAGTAAGATAATACGCATTAAAACAGGGCAGGGGGAAATAAATAGAGTAACCAACTTTGTCTGTAATGGAGTTAACCCATTTAAATGGCTGAAACAAAACCTGCCTGCAGGTTTCTGTTTTTCAGCATCTACATGTTTAAGCTCTAACAATCTGCATTCCCAAGTTACTCTAGGTCCAGACAAGAAATAACAGAATCAGGGTTTATTAGGGGGAAGTTTGCTGCATTCGGGTCATTGAAGAATCAATCTGTCTAGCCAAATTGTGCCAGATGGACAATACCATTTGAGCACTCATGGTACTTACTACTCTTTACCCTGCCAAAGTTCCTTGGGAGTGACCTAGAGAGCCTCTTTCTCTGGTGTGAAAGTCCATGCTGAGCCCCTGCTGTCCAAAAACACTGTTTAACATCTTGCTGTAAGACTTGTTTTGATTCCATATGCTAGTAGTCAGGCTGTGACTAAATGACTATTGGCAAAGGTATTGAACTAAAACCTAAACAAATTGAAACTTTCATTTCACTTTCATTCAAAGTACATTTTTGTTGACATAATCACTTCTCGATAAATGACACACAGCTGAGTCTCAATTCACAACCTTTCCCAGGAGGTCACTAGGACTGCATTCAGTGTATTGAAACACTGTGCTCTTCAGTGGTTTAACCCAGGGTTTACTCTCTTTTTCTAAGCAGAAGAGAGATCTGCTTAGACTTGTCCAAGAGACTTTTTTTCTTTTGAAAAATAGACTATCTTCAGTTCTTCCTCATGCTGGTCTTGAATTAATACTAGTTTAAAGTAGCTGGATAGTTCATGCAACAACCAATTGTTGCAGAGCTGTAAACACTATTTAGATAATGTTGGACACAAGGCTCCAAAGTCAGTGTGCCAAGTAAGATCATCATGGGGGGAAGCACAAGTAATAGGATTATTGGTTATTGTTGCATTATTATGAATAAGAATGGTTTCAAAACTCATCCCAAATTCCATCTCCATTTCCTCTGCTTAATGAGGAACTTCTGTTCAAAGGGAAATGCCTTTCGATGATTTAAAAAGTTCTCCCATTTCACTCACCCTTAATGCACACATGGCCGCCTCACTCTTCCTACTGACCCCTGGGCATTTTACCTGTCCCCCACACAAGTGGGCCCTTCCCTGCAGCACCTTCTGCTGGGCTCTGTACCACTCATGCTCATATCCATCAGCTGCCAGCCAGCCCTGGGCACCACTCTTCCAAAAACAGGCAGAAGTTGCAAGAGGTTGTTCTTACCTTGCACCTCTTGGAGGGTTTCATGTGGCACTGGTGGAAAAAGTGCCAGTAGATCAGGTCATCCGTGGCACATTTCCTGGTGCCTTATGGTCCAGAAAACGGGAAAAGGTGTCCCTGCACTTCCCAGCTAATGAGTGAGAGGCATTTGTCTGCTTTGACATGGTGCACGTGATGAGAGAGCAGTGCGGATCACAAGCTGGCAGAAAACAGCATGGGCTTAGCCCTATCAGTTCTCCAGGGGTGGTTTCCTCTTGTCACCCCCAGTGACAACACCTTATGCACTGAAAGAATTAAGGTATTTGGAGGAGTCCATAGGGTTTTTCTATCTGATAATTATTCTTAGGAGAAAGGCTTAAGCTTGATACCAGAGAACCCCTTGATGACAGGGAGGGAGAAAGGGCAGCTGACAGAATGCCCATCTCTTGCTATTTTTCATCCACCAAAGCTGAATATGATCCAGTTCCCTGTTAAGGGCTGTTGGACAGGCACTCTTGACTAATTTTCACTCACCTCTTCCCAAGTGACCTTCTCCTTCCAAAAATGATGAGGAAATCATCTGTCTCAGCTGCACACTCTGGGAAATATTATCTTTTGCAAACTTTATCTTCATTGAAATGAATTGTTTTCATTTGAATTTAGCTTTGAACTTGGCTGTGTGACTGGGAAGAGATTCACTGCAGTGCACAATAAACATTGTATCCTGTGCCTCTTCCATCTTTTTAATATCTGCACAATAGCAAGACCTGGAAAGCAGAAACACTGAATCATCTTGGTCCAGGAGTGTCACTTCTCTAAAGAGAAGCCTGCGGCATCTCACATATCATGTAAGAAGTGAGCCCATTCTTGAATGCACAGATCATGCAACATGGCTCATTTAACTCGTAAGCTCAATGCTTCATAAATGATACTTTCCTCTAGGGGCTGTTGCAGGAAGACATCAGAGCAGAGAGCTGTGTTTCAGGCCTCTGTTTTCTAAAGCTTTGTGCTAACCCAGAAAATCTCTAGTCCCAAGTACGAACAATAGCTCACTATAAATCTGTTCTTCACAGTTTTGTACACCTTTAGATTTTATGGGAAATACCTCTAATTGACAGATGATGGTAAATGGTTTGTAGGGAATTCTGATTTTGCACAGTACTCTGGGAGTCATTATCTTTACTTTTGGATAATAACTGGAAGCCAAAAGAACACAAGTTTAGATTAGATATAAGGAAGAAATTCTTTGCTGTGAGGGTGGTGAGGCACTGGCACAGGTTGCCCAGAGAAGCTGCGGATGCCCCAGGCCAGGTTGGATGGGACTCTGAGCAGCCTTATCTAGTAGAAGGTGGAGGGGTTGGAAACAGATGATCTTTAAGGTCTCTTTCAACCCAAACCACTTGATGATTCTATGATCAGAGAGTTCATTTAAGAGCTAGTATTGAAAGCACTGAAATAGCATATTAGATATCCTAAAAATGCCCTCTGGGTTTAAGAGAGCAAAACATCAACATATTCTGTCTAAACACAATTATACAAATAATTTAAATTAGCTGTATGGGTCATGAAAAAGTCAAAAATTAAAACCCCCTCCTCCTTATGCCATCCTGCTGCTCTGTGTTAAAGTTCCTTGCTTTCACAGTACTCCTGCATAGCTGAGAGCAGGTAATATCCACTTTGAAGGACACTCAGTAACTATGCGTAGGAGCAGAGTTAAACACAGGCATGAAGGCCCAGTTCTCTTTGTTTGAAGGCACTGTACATTTTAAGGACAAATTCTGAAGCAGAGTGCTGTGTTCTCTCACAGATGTCACCACATCATGCTTTTGTGTATATTTTCTGGGAAAGTCTAATTGTTATTTGGAGAAAGTCCTGAGTACAGGAGGTCCTTCTACAATTTGCCATGCTGGGAGCTGCTTGTGAAACACCATGGTGCTTCTGACCTGTAGTGTCCGTCCCCTTAGGTCCTCCAGCCCACTGCCCTCCAAGGGAAGGACTGACACAAAAATGTGGTTTTTAGGAACATATTTGGAAGTGTGCACTGTGCACGTCCCACTGTGCCACCATCCCAAAAGATTCTTGATCCTGAAAAATTTCCATTGCTATAACCTGAGTAGTGCACACAGGATGATGTGTTCTGTCTCTAATATGGAAGATCAGGACAATTCTGCTGTCTTCTTGGCCTTAAATTTGGATTCTTCTAGGCTTCTTTTAGTACCTTTTGGGTGTTACTAGAGAAATAACTGAACTGGACTTAGCTCTCATGAAAAAATTTGAGAAACTTTATAACCCCTTAAGTGTAACTCTCTCTGATTAAAAATTTCCCAGCTTCATCAAGAGTCTAAGATAGAGTACAGATAATTTTTTAATAGAGAAGGGTTCTACAGTTCTGATAAAATAGCATTTAGTAAACACTGCAAAGAGAGAACAAAGTGAGAAGTCTTCACTCTGTTTTTCCTTGCAGCTTAGAGAGTAACATATCTCATTCCACTTGCTGCTGAGATCCTCCCTCACGGACTAGCCACTTGATCACACCACATCCCACATGCATGAAACCTTCTCACAGCACTGACAGAGGAGGAGGAGAATAAACACACCCAGCATTTCTTTACCAGCCTCTTTCCAATCCCAAATTAATCCTGCCTGGACATCCCAATGACTAATCGGGTTTACTGACTCAGCTTTAACAAAACCTCGAGTGGATGAGTATCCACTTCATTAATCCTCTGCCTGATCTCCCCGTGTACAGTCCTTATAAGCGGGAAGGGGCAGACACACTTTGAAGACATTAAGCTACAAGCTGTTTGCAAACAGATTTTCTCTCTTCCCCTAAACAGACAAGTGCTCAGTGCCTCTCAGCATCCAAATTCAGAATAATTATAGTGACCTCCCAGCTGTCACCGACAGAAGTGCGGGAAGGCGGATTATGCACATGAAGTCCTCTACATCTAAAGCTACCATATGTCCAGGTTTCACTGGGCATGTTTCACAAAGCCAACTTTCTCAGGCTGAAAAAAGACTTTGGCCATTTGTCCTGAACTCATCTGTGGCTGGAAACGGTCCCAGGCTGGCTGACACTTGGAATGGAGTCATGAAGCACACTGAAATCCCCTGCATTATGCTGGCTTCAGATATGCTGGAATCACCATGTTTGTGCTGCCCATCTGCCAGAGCAGAGCCTGAGGGGCCTTGAAAAGTCAAAGAGAAAGGGAGCTTAAACCTTAGTGATGACAATTTTGATGAAGAGAGGGAAGTGAGAGCTTTCTCCTGCCTGTAGCTCCTGCAGACAGCTCCCAGAATGGGCAGGAGTGATTTGGGGCAAGAGGTAGAGCCTGAGCTCTTTGACAGAAGGCTGCTGCCCCAGACAGGAGCCATGTCCTGCATCACTGCTGTGAGGAGTGCCTGTGGCAAGGCAGGGGAGGCAGCCCTGCCTGTACAGCCTCTCTGCACATCTGCTGCTGTACTGAGTGCCCCATGTGAGGGCATGGCAGCCTCAAAGATCTCACGAACCACACTTTATTACATCAGCTATGTCTTGACTAGAAAATGCCTTCTGCAACACACTGCCTGTAGCTCAGCTACAGATTCAAGAAGGTTTTTGACTGTAACTCCTGGGGTTTAAAAGGCCAACTGTATTCTACTTTCAGAGATTCATAGATGTCCTGCAGATATCATACCATAAAATGAAAGCACCTCCCCTCATCATGTCTGCATTGAAAGATTCAGATTGGTGAGTCTCAACTGGTTTTCACCAGGAACTTTTTGAATGCTGAGTCTGAAGAAATGTTTGCTTAAGCTTTTATAAAAAAAAAAAAAAAAAAAGAAACCTATGCCAAGGAAACTGAGAAGAAAACAAATAATTAGAACACGCAGAGCTTGACTTTTTCCCTCCAGTGAAACAACACAGACATTTTAATAATTAAGCAGTTTCATAATGTTTGTAGAGGGAAACAAAAGTTTATTGCTTTTGCTATTTCTATAAAGGCACAGGGCAAAGTGTAGGAGCTTGTAGGGAAGGAAAGTCATGGTGCTATAGGGGTGAAAGAATAAACCTCGAGCTCCCTAGGTAATATTTACAGTACTGCAGTGGGAGTTCAGTTAAGGAACATGTGAGTCAGGGTTTGGGGCCTCATTTGGTAAACCAGTATTTTTGCACACGAGGAACTTGAGTGAGTATGTGGTTTAAGAGAAATTCTTTAAGTTTAGCCCAATGAAAACTGGGTTGTGCAATTCTGACTCATATTTTAGGATCACTCATGCTCTAATTTAAACCAATGGGAATTTTTTTATTGACTTGAAAGAGAACAAGATTAAGCCTTTACTCCATTGTGATTCCTTCAGAGAATGTGGGACTAGGGTAAAATTAGCTGATGGTCACTAGAAGTATCAAAATCAAGTGATTGCATCTTCTCCCTTCCTCAGAAAATGTATGAATTGGGAGAAACACATTTATTTAATTTCTTTAGACAGATGCACCCTTAAATTAAACTCCCTCAGAGTTAGGAAGATTATTCTGCCTTTGTATCTGTGCAAGAGAAAGGCAGGGTTGATTCAAGGCATACAAAGCTAAGAGATTTAAACTCTGCCAGTTCCTACATAGTGCTGAAATTGATACAGTATGTCTGGAATTGATTTTTCCTTGGATGCTTGCAGACAGATCTCCGAGATATGTTGATGTCTGCTCTGTAAATGAAGGAGTGGCTGTAAGTTTACAGATACCTGGTTTGTACTTGCAGCATTTGGGAACAAAAAGAGGGAAAGAAACCCAAAGAATGAGCAGCAGATAATATGAAAAACAGCAAAAACACAGAGCAGCAACTGACAATTATAAAGCAAATATAAGAGCCTGTTCCTACCCTGTAGTGGGAATACCACACTGCTCAACATCAAATTGACTGAAATAATGCATAGCATGGTTGGGGGAGATGAAGGAAATAAAATCAGCAAGATCCCAAGAGAGACTGGTAATGGTGGAAATTTAAATTTTTTCTAGCTTTGTTTTTCTGATATAATTTCAAGGTTTTGTTTTTTGTTAGGTTTTTTTTTTTTTTTCTGTACAGTATGATAGAGTAGTTATTGCTGAAATAATTATTTCATTTCCAACAAAAGAGATGACAGGTCTCAACAATCACATTTCAGATACAGAACTGTTTTACATGTGCCCTCATTCCCCCACCAACTTTCTTGTACTTCTGTGAAGGATTTGTCTTGTTTGGGGGCATTGACCACAGAGCTCCTGGGGCAGGGTCAGCTGTGGAAGTGCTGATGGACAACTGTGTCTTGTGACTTAGTGCCACTGAATGCAGCTATGAACAGGCACAGTGGAAAAAGTTGAGCTGAGTCTTTCTTAGATCCTCTCATATCCCTCTTATTCATTGTGTGCTTGGCAGAGTAAGTTCCTATGGGCACATTCTGGTCTGGAAATCAATATACTTTATTATAGAGTAGGAAGCATAGGAATAAATTCTAATTTAGTAGCAACATAGAGGTAAACACTAATTTAATAGAAGTTGGATCAGCCTCTCTTCCATCCAAAACATACAAAATGACATAAAATTCTTTTTTTTTTTTTTGGTGGTAGCAATGGTGGTAATTATTTTTAAAGTCCAGGCTTCACTGTGTGTGCATTAATATTTTCTAATGTAGTGTAAGAAGAACTCTTACTTGCTTGGCAAGACTAATTGAATCTAAGTTATGTACCTGCTTGGACAACATGGTCTGTGCAAGGATCCACACGCTTATTCAGATACTTTATCTTGTGGGAGGGACCTGCAATTTGGAGTATTTCTGTTGCAAACATAGAAATACACTTGGGATTGGAGTGAACAGAGGTGGTAAATGAGGGTTGCTCACAATATTCACAGTGTTTGTGCTTCTGTGGGGTAGGAAAAGGAGGAAAGAGTTGTTACTGCTGACAGGGGAGGAAAGTGGAAGAACAGAAACCCAGATGAACACACTCATTTATGGTCCCATCAGTGATCTGTGGAAATAATACAGATTATAGCCCATATTAGGAGGAAGCCTTCTCAACTAAAATGTTAAATGGGATGGGAAGAAACCCATGCACAGAGACATCAAAATCTGAGCAATGAAACCACAGACATGTTGTTCCTGTAGATTCATGTACAGGCAGAGTTCCAGCATGGACCCTCCTAGATCTAGAAAGAGTAGTCTCCACCCCAGTCTTCCCTTCACCCTGTGCTGCAAGTGGAGGTCCTTGATATCATTTGTCTTCTCCCCTCATTTAATTAAATTTGTGGGCACTCGATACATTTCAGATTCTAATTTCCTCCCCTGTCAGCTGGTTTAAATTGGGGTGATACAGTTGATGGTGATAGGACTGGGAGAAGAAGGATGTGGGTGACAGTATTGTTGCACAAGACTGTTTTCAAATGGTAACATGGCTAAAAACTGAGCAGTCTGGTGTTTTGTATCGTCAGTTATAAAAAGGTACTGTCAAATCTCTGCCAATGAAGAGCAGGACAAGATGTTTAAATTGACAGAGATTTTATCATCACAAATATCAGTGTAACAAAGTAGCCACTCTAAGTGTGACTTTTGGTTGTTCAATTTAGTTATCACCATAGTTTTCACATAGGGCAGGGTTGAGTTAATTATTAAAGCAGGTTCCCTTGCTGCATATGTTCATCTCTGCAGAGAGATTATTGCAAAAATATTGGAGAAAAATTTTGAAGCCTTACGACCACCCTATTTTTCATGCCCTAATTATCTGGTAAAAAAATCCTACTTTCCAGTGAGTCAGTCTTTGCTGAGATTAGTGGAAATGCTTTTGGTTTATAGTGAGATACGAATTATCCAGAATGTACCCCGAGGAGAGAGAGTGAATGCTATTTAATGTCATTAAAAAATGAGAAAGAGAAGCTCAAATAGGTTTTGTCAGTGGCATAATACTGTTCCCAAAGAGTTGTGACATCTCTGTATTTCCCAGGGCTAGAAAGGCACAGTGTTTTGATATTTTGTCCTTCAACTCCCCTTTCCTGCTAACAACCTTTTTTCTGGGATATAATAGCTCCATATCCACTTCAAATTAGTTGAGACCTACTGGAAGGCAAAGCACTCAGTAGGGACATGGAGTCTGTAAAGCTCCTCCTTCATCAGCAATCTAGGGATCCTGGCAGTGCGGGGGTTAACCTGAGGTTAGGGACGGTGCTGGGAAGAGACAAACTGGGGGAGACTTGAATACATGGAAAAGCCACAGCACAGAGAAGAGGAAAGCAGCAGCAGTGTGGGCAGGGTAAAGGTGCCTCACCACGAAGCAGCAATACCCAGCCTAAGAGAGAGCAGCTCTGACAGACCCCTGGGGATGTAACAGTGTTACCAGCGTTCCTGCAACAAACTGTGAAATTCAAGCACAGAAACCAGGCCTTCCCATTTCAGTGCCAGTTGCTGAGATGTGCTTACTCCTTTCAACCAAATGGCAAATGAAGAAATAAGAAATCTGAATGCCGTGGCTGAAAGAGAAACACTGATTCCTAGAAAAATTCCCAACACTTTTCCAATTCTCATTTGCTTGGGTCTGCTCCCCTCATAAACTGGGCAACAGCTGAGCAATTGGGGAAGAGAATTGTAACTTAGATTACACACAAATTTGCCTTGAGAACTCTGATTTGAGATCTACTTAACCTAACCCTTCCCCCTACTTCATTTGCTTTCCCTGGTTTGTTTAAGCATGTTGCCTTACCAATGCAGCCAGAACAAGGGACTTGCAGTGGGTTGAGAGGCTCCTGTTTTTTCCCTCTTTTGGAAATATCTCAGAGCAACCATCTGTCAGTTCCCACCAGCCTGGAGAGCTGCTCTGACAGCAGATATACACAGCATCTCCCTGATCAGCACTGGCACTGTGGGAAATACAGATGAGGGAAGAGTTGTGCAGGGCTTGGGAGCAGAGCTGAGGGTTGCAGCTGCTGTAAGAGCTTTTTGCTGAAGTGAAAACCCCCCAAAGGGCTTTTCTCTTCCACATGCACCTGAAATGGCTTGTCTGCTACAGTCAATAAGTAGAGGTTTCATTTGCTGCTTTCTGTGAAGAAGGGGAGGGTGTATGGCTGTCTGACAGCTACCTTGTGCAGATTTGGTGTGATCCCCAGGGTTAGTTGGAAAGCCTCCCAAATGAGCAGCATGCTGTAGGAAAGGGGCTGGTGGTGGCTGTCTCACTGGTGAACTGACAAGACATGAGAATCACAGCTTAATAATTTCTTGCATCTTAATGGATTTTAGGTAAGAATTTGCCAGAACAATGGATAAATAATGTGGCATTAAAAAGCCAGTACCAAAGCCAATAAGCACCAAAACATGATGAATTTCTGCTGTTTTTATGAGGCACATGAACAGTGAGTGCTGTGCAGGAGTTAATGCTACTGCTGCACACGAAATGTCAGAAATCAAGTCCTTCATCTATGCAAGTATTTGTTCTGGAGGAGTTGTTGCAGTTATTCACTCAGGAAATGGAAATCTATCTTGCATTTTTCTTTCTACCCCATAAAACTGCTTTTGAAGAGTTTGTAGCGATATGCTAATTGAATACAATACTTCCAAAATTTGGTTACCAGTAATTTATCAACAGCTTTAACTAATGCCAACAACAGGTTAGACATAAAAAAAGCTCATGTTTTATATTTTGAAGTTTCCCCCTAAACTCTAGACTCCAATCAACTCCAACACTAAGCCTTTGTGCATTTTCCCTCCTGCCTAGGAGGTGATACCAATTTCCCTCCTTGGCTTCACATTCCCTGCTCCAACTTCTGTGTGAACAAATGCAGGCTACAGCCACTTATTTAACATATTCCAAGTCCTGCATGCAGACTAAAAAAAATGTCCTGAATTATCTTTGTCTCTAGGCTGCAAACAGTCAGCTGGTGCTGGCTACCAGTTGCTGGTGCTTTTGATCTAGGGCTGCACAGGTAGAGTCAGAGTGGATATTGCTGTGCCCAGGTGCTATAGATGCCACAACTAAAGCCCAGATAGCTCTTTTTCCAATAGGAGCTGAGCATACACATGCATTTTATGTGGCAATATGGCTGCATATGGTCAGAGGCTCTAGGTAAAATGCAATTTTTAAATCATTTTCTTTTTAATGAAACTTTAATGCTGTGGAAATCCATGGAGGAAATAGAGGAAAAAGTTCATACTAGATTCAAGAAAGGCTCACTCATGTTTGATCTGTTTCTTGTACCCTTTGGAAGCAGATATACTTATTTGCAGCACAATCTCAGCTCCACTGAAGTCAGCAGGAAGTCTGCCACCATCTTCACAGGCAGCAGGCTGGTGCCTCAGAGGGCTGATCAGCTGAGCACTCTCCTCTGCTGCAGAAGGAGCCACTAATGTGTGCCCTTGGCTGCTTGCTGTGCTAAACCCATTTACCTGAACCATGGCAGCAAAAGAAGCAGTTTTAGTGATTAACCCACTGCCCTAAACCAGGACACCCACTTTTACTGCTATAAAGCTAATCAAGCTGCTTCTTTTTCTTTACTAGTGGAGTCTGTTTTAAGTTCCCAGATGCTCAGTTATAGTGGGAGAAGGTAAGTTTTGCACATTTAAATGGAGTATTGTACTCATTTAAGAACAGGAGAGGAAGGGAACAGCAAGTGATCCTTTCCCTGCCTGCAGACTGACAGCCTGGCAGCCCCCAAAACAGAAAAGCCTTTGTTCATGGCCACAGTGCCCACAGCTGTCAGGTCCAGTGCTCCCATACTGGCCAGCTCCTAATATTAGGAAGAACCACTGTATCCAAGCCTTCAGGGACAAGCTCAGCAGATCCATCAAAGCAGAGTACGCAGAGAAGCCAACAGGTCAGGCTGTTGAAATCAGGCAGCTGATTTCTTGAGATGGGAGACCCTGAAAATCCAGAAGGGTTAAGATGCTCAGCGCATCTATAAGGCTGTGGAACAAATTTTAGGGGAAATAACAGTGCAGGAAAACTGTCAGATGTTATGGAGGAGGATGGTTGGAAGGTACTGCTTGTCTTTGAAGTTAGCAGCATTAAATGTGCACTTTAAAGATCAGTTATAATCTGAAACTGCAACAGAATTTACCTCCAACTGTCCTTTGCTGGCTGGGGGACATGAGCAGCTGCTCCCTCCAGCAAACTGTGCGTGGCTGGAAGGAGAGGTTGGGAGGTGAGGAGGTCCTAACCCATGTGCTTAATGTTCATGTGAAAAAGTCCCAAGAGGTGCCAAGCTGAGTTATCCCTGCTGCACTGACAAACAAGAAGCACTACTCTTCAAGTTTCAATAATAAGAAGCCCTTAAAGCACAACACATCCTGTCCTCTGGATTTCTAGCAAGAGCAGTTCAGATGAGCAGCCATGGGAATTAAGCTCCCTTCAGGCCACAGAGCCCACCTTCCCCCTGCTTTATAGCCCAGAAGAGCAGTGGTGATTGCTCTTGGCTGTAGTTGATGGCCTGCTGGAGGGGTTAAAGCTCTTTCCTCAGCTCTGGTCCAAGCAGACCTTGAGCCAGGATCTAAACAAAAGAGCTTTGCCTACAGCTTCCCCCAGCCAGCTTCAAACTGCAGCTCACACAAACAGTCCCTGGCAGTGACTCGGAGCAGCTCTGCTCCCAGGCATGCAACCAGGACCTGCCCTGTGCCTTGCCAGCTGCCAGTTCAGCTAGTTGTGGAGTCCCCCTTCTTGCACCTCATGTTCTCTAAAACACAGGACACTTCTCCTGCCTCCTTTACCCCCTAGGAACCATGACAAACATCTACTAGAAATATCAGTGAGACTTGTCAGAGCCACCCCACTGCACTTGCTGCCCCACAAGCATTCACCACAGCATATGTACCAGCCCTGCTGCTCCTGTATTCCAGCTGGGGAACCACGGGCAAAAGTAGTCTATCAAATACTGTCTTGAAAGAATTAAGTTTATTCCCAAGATTATGACTTTTCAGGGACACCGCAGCAAGCAAGCTGAGGGCAAATGTTGGCCTTGCAGGGGGCCAACTGGCAAGAGCTCAGGCAGTAAGGCAAGCCTTGACCACAAGTGCTGGCCTAGAGCAAGCCATTTGAAGTGCCATTTGCTAATAAAATGAAATAGAATGAAATAAAGTGAAATAAAATAAAATAATCATTAAAGTGGCACAAAGGGGCAGTTAATAGCCCTCCTGTATTTTAAACTCTGGAAATATGGAAAACAACTGATTTAGAACCTCTGTTGTTCTGTCCCTTTTAGTTGCCAATGTCAGCAAAACTGATGAAGACAGCAGTGGGAAAGCAGCTTTGTGTGTAACAGTAATTGGTTCTGAATTGGTTGACAATTCTAATAGCTTTCAGCCGACTTGGACAAAGGGGCAAGCTATGGACACTGCAGCAACACTGAAGTGAGATAAGGCATAATGAAAAGGTGAGAAATATATTATAAATATTCTGAATGAAAAAAACCCCTACCATCATTTTCACAACCTCTTTCTGATGTCAAGCAGGTGCCCACAGCAGGGGAGAGGAGTCTGAGAGGAACTGGTAGCACACAGGAATTCCTTCCAGGAGCCACAGACAGGGTTTCAGAAACAGTTTGCCTAAAAGCAGCTGGCACATTGCTTGCTTTTGGGCTTTGAGCCCAGGTAGAGGCTAATGAGGCAATGGAAACAGAGGTCCACCACCACTGAAATAAGTCTTCCACAAGAAGCAAACCCACTGGGATTTTCATGGTCCATGTCCCTGTACTGTCCCCCTGCAATAGTCCATCTCTTTGTTGCTGCTCCCTGGTACATCCCAAAGAGCACACCCTGCTCCTCACACCTCTCCTATGATATTTTCCCATGTTTTTCTCTCCCTTTTCCCATTTGTTCATGTCTTTCACTCCATGATACAGCTTCTAAGCCAACTTCCCTGCTGCCTCCTTGCCCTCCATCATGTATTTTGCCTCTTGCCGTATCTAAAGGCATTATGGGATTTGGCTGATCTGAAGGCACACAGGGCTAGCTGGCAGTCAGCCATCAGCAAGCAGAGGGATGGCCTTCAATTTTCCCTCAGTAGAGGCTTTAATATTATTATCTTCTATCCAGCCATAGATTTCTACACTGAGCTTATAGAAACTTCTCTTGGAAACCTCCATCTGTCTGCCTAATGTGTTTATAGGGACAAAAAATTTAGATTACCACAGGCAGACAGAGAAACAGTCAGAAGGACTGCATGGATACAGTTGTCTTAGGGAGCTATGTTTAAAAGCTAGAATGTTATATTTCTGTATGACTTAAAAAAGAAATATGTAATAAAATAAAGTAGTCTTTACTAGCTTCAAAAGAAAGATTTCTGGGGAGCTGACAGGTTGCAAATAGCTTTATATGCATTGTCTGATGTCTGGCAGGTGCCCCTAGAGAAACAAAGTCCATATTTCTACATGCTCTGTTCACTCTTTGGGAGACACTTATTCCTCGGACTGACATTTTGGTTACATTCATTCCCTGAGGCATTTTACAGGAAAACACAGGATCGTATTTGATTGTTCAGGAGGTACTGAACTTTACATAGATGACATTTAGAAACACAGAGAGCTCACGCCTGGGAGCTCCAACTGCTCTGAAAGAAGCAACACTGCTGGGCTCAATTATTTAGAAATGTAAATTTGTGATGACAGTAATACCAAAACAGAGAGAGAAGTTAACACTGCTGGATTGTACTAACTTGGCTGCAAATTGTACTGGAATTTCACAGTAAAGTGCTAAAAATGAAGGTTAGAGAAGACTTTTGAGGCAAAAGCCTGTGTGAGGAACACACAGAGGAACCTTTCTTTGGTTGCATGAAGCCAAATTCTGAGAGTGCCATAGGGAAACATCGTAATGAATGTGAAATGCAAATGTTATAGGTGGAGGTTCCAGGGGAGATGCACCCTCCAATGCCCAGAGGAGAAGGAGCAGATGGACAAGTTGGCCAACTTTGTCCAGAAGATGGGCAATGACCCATGAAAGGTGCTGGATCATCATCACCTTGCACTTGCTTAAATGATCACTTGGGTTTCACCTGCTTCAGGCAAAGCTGCAGCCTGAAAAAAGGCACAGGCTCCTGGCCAGGATGAAAGATTTCATTTGAGTCCAGTTTGTTCCAGTGACCAGCAAATGCTGAGCACTTGGCCCCATCAGCTGCATTTACCCTGTCAGACCTGGAGTGACTGGGAAAGCATAATGCAGTGCCATGAATTTATAGAAACTGGGGACAGAGGAAGGAGCCTCAAATGTAAAGTCAATATATGGCAAGTCTGTGTAAAATACACATTTCTCACTTGCACACACAGATACACGTGTCCATATGGTCTCTCTCACTGCATCTTCCAATATATTCTCCTCCCCAGTAAAATCTCACCTCCCTTCTTCCCAGCCAGAGAGTGCAAATGGGTTTGTGAACCTTAGTACATCATTTACAGCTGCTGTAAATCTGGAGCAATGTACACTATCAGATGTGCAGGTTTCATTTATAAAGCAGGATTTATGGTTTCACTCCTTAGATCTACAGATGGGTTTTATTGTGATTTATGCCTGTGTCATGAAGGACCATATATAAGAATTACCTGATATTATCGAGGGACCTATTCTTTTTGGCCCTTATCTTTCTTCTGAAAGCAGACGCTACTTAATCACTGTTAGCTATATACTGGGTAGTGTCCTTTGTGAATTACCCATATCCCTGTTTTCAGTATTATTAGCTTGTGATGTTAGGACTAACCCAATGAAATAGTCACAACAGATGCTGAATTGCAACTATATATACAATTTATAAATGGCTCTTTGGTGACTGTGTTGGTAAATTTAATTACAGTCTTTTTAAAAAAGACATTACATCAACATTAACTGAATTCCAGCCTCAAACTGAGGTATGAAAAAGGCTCTTTGAGTCCTCTGAGTAAAATATTTAGGTTTCTACTATTATTGTCAGAGACTACACCTCAGTAGCATAAATCATAAGATAAATTTCCCATTTCTGAGAAAGGTGGAGGCCAGATTTTTGAAAGCATTCAGCCAAATAACCACCCCTGATTTTTAAGAGCATTGTAACACTCCAGGGGATCTTGCCTGAAGAAGCAGAGTAACACCTAATAGAGTTTCCCAATATCCCATTTATTAGGCTCCCATGGTTTTTACTAGGCCTGGAAATCCAAGGGGACCTTGTCAGAATGCCTCCAGTGCTAACACACCCCCAGGAATAAGACTGATAACCTGTTTTTCTTTGAAAGCTAATAAGTCACAGGGTCCTGAAGATGTTTTGATATCTTACTCACTAGAATCACCTTTGATGGCCTGGGTCTAACAGCATATAAAAGATAACCTATGCCCCTTAGGTGGGTTTGGAACATCTACAGCAATTTCCAGGAAATACTGCAGTATTCCAACAGGTCTCTTTACTCTCAGTTATGCTAACAACCAGGTGAAGGCCCAAAACATGAAGCTCCAGCATTGTGGCCTGGTCTGTACGTGCTCCTTCAATGCCATATAGGCCTGATACTACTTTTCTCTGCTTTTGATCTGAGAGGTGGAAAATTTCTCCACTAAACAACTCCTATAAGCCTGGAGCAAGGCACTATCTTGATGAAAGGTCTTTGAATCTCCTTTGAATCCTGCTTCTTGCTGATCCCAGCATTAGGAAACTATACAAACTGTGGCATTGCTGCTGCCTTTCTGGCACACGACCATCTAGATGAGAGGATAATTGGAGCAACAGCCCTCTTCTCCCTTCCGTTTCTACCTCAGCAGTAAGAAGTGCTCCCTGGGAAGAGGCTGGGACAGTCAAAGGAGCAATCCCTCACAGAAAGCACCAGGCTGCAAAGTGTTACTGATGAAACTCCTCCCATGTGCTCTCTGTTGGCCCTGACTGGTGAGAGCAGCAGCTCTTTGCAGTGCTGTCCCATTTCAGGGAAGGTGTTGAAGTGCTTTCTAGGAGCATTTTCCTCCCTTTGTTCCTCAGGATGTTTGCGAGAGCAGTGAGGTAAGGATTATAGGGAGCACCTTCTTATCCCAGGCTCCCTAAAGCTTTTTGTCTTGCTGGAAAAGAACTTACCAGGCATTTATCCCTGTTCTTGCCTTGCCTGCCATGATGGTAGCTTCTTCCTCACTCATGCAGGAAAAGCCTGCAAAGTTGGGAATTTGGATCAATCTGAAAGATTGCAGAGAGGATGTCAGGGTCTGATGGAAAGGTTAATTTAAATTATTTTAGATTCAGGAAATTATTTTCATTATTTGAGTCCTGAGGGCTTTTTTAACATCCATGTGAAGGTATGTGATATGCCAAGATTTTCATCTCAAGAGCTGGCACAGAACCCACAGAGGGTGAGACATCAGGCACAGAGCTTCACTTACTGTGGTCCATGTGTGGATGCAATCTCTAGGAAGTCCTTTTTGGGAGCTGAAGAGTGGCCTAAGGTGCTGAGAGAGGTACAGCCCTTTTGTCCGAGGTATTCTTAGTGCATGCCTACCAGGCTGAGCCTCTGCAAGGAATTAGGGAAGGAAATGCTAAATTTCTGGATCCCAAAGAGTTGTAGATGCACATGACATCCCTGAGCAGCTCAGCCTGAATGGGGTGGGAGCACTTTTGAGACCCAGAGATAAAAATGACTGTAAACATCTGGGGAGCTTTTAACAGGGAGGTACCTTTGGAGTTCATACACACTGAAAGTCTGGAAAAAGCTGCATTCAGATTTAGGCACCCACATCCCACTTCAGGTTTAAATCCTTAAGTAGCTCTGGTTCATAATACTCAAATTTACTTCAATAATTTTCTTATTCTGCGTGCAATTTCTCACTGACTGTTCCATTTGCTTTCAGGTTGACAGCCTAAAGCATCCTAGTTTAGCTACTTAGCTGCTAAGTAATATATATTTTTCATCAAAGCAAGTAGAAAACTTAAATGAGGTATATAGATTCTTACCAAAAATTCAGCTTTCAGCAGTTCTTGTTACATCCATTTAAAAAAAAAAAAAGTGTAGGCAAAAGTTTTTTAAAAGTGCAGAAACTAATTTTTTCTTCAGATTCAAACAGCAATTTTAGAACTACATGACCCATTTTTAGTGCTTTCTATTACATCTCTCTATTTTTTCTCACACACAAAAATTTAAAAACTAAAGTCTTAGCCCCAGAGGAGCATCCCACATAGCACAAGCACATGAAAGTAAGAGACTGTGATGCTCAGTGTTTTGTAGCTTTCTAAATGGGCCTAGAAACATTTACAGCCTTAGCTAATCACATTACATTTGCTTAATTAATGGGAAGAGCCTATGCTCTCAAGCTGACAGGCTTTGATAGATGAGTACAGCTGCCCTGGCTTTCAGCAGCATTTGTGACTGCTTAATGGGAAGAGGGTGGGGGCCAGCAGAGGAGGGGGCAAAGCAATGAAGTAAATGTTTTGTATGCATACTGTTTGTGGTTACTCTGCACCTGAGATGGAGAGGTAGCTCCAATCCCCATTTGGGTTAGCTGTACCTGAGACCCAGCATTCCTGCAGCCAATTCCCTGGCACAGCCCAGAGCCATCATCATGTCCTGGGTCACCAGTTCCTGAGGGTGCTCCCACCCAATTCACATTGTTTTAGGCAGCTTGGGACAACCTTACTGTGAGATTTCTATAAATGAGAGCTAGAGGATGGGGTGAACATCAGTGGTTTCCTAAGCAGAGAAAGAGAAATCCTGCTCTAGATGGCATGGGAAATCACCTGCATTTTTCAGAGCTTCCCTCTGAAAGTCAGAAAAACAACCTTGTCTCCTGAATTATCTACTCCATTCCCATCCAAATGACTCCTCGTGTGCCTGCGTTGCAGTACACGAGTCTGAAACACATGATATAAGCAGCTGCCAGGCCAACTGCTCAGATGATAATTGAGCCAGTTGTACACACTTTTGTACATCATACTCCATTGCATCCGACTCTTACTCACCCTGTTGCCAACTGCTTCTTGTCTATTTTCTCCAGGAAACAGACTTTATCAGTGTAATTTGCAGGAAACCCTCCCAGTCCCAGCTGGAAAGTCACACTCTCTCCCACCTCCCTTCCACCACTTCCTTGAGGGCTCTAAGTTGCTCAGCAGGGCCAATTAGGAATTCAAACCAGGTAGAAAGTGAATATAGAGTAGCGATAAGAGTCAGTGGCATGATTGATGATGCTTATACATATGCTTCTGGCTTGAAAAGCAATGTCTGGGTCGATTCCAGGAGTTGGGTCTAATTTCAAAAGGATTTTCTGACAGAAAAAAAAAAAAAAAGAGGGTTAGCAGCACATGCTACAGAAAGCAACTTCCACAGATTATTCCATCCCTAAAATATCAACCAATTACTAAGAGCAAAGCGTGAGAGAGCTAACAAGAGCTTTTACTCATACTGATCCTCCTGCACCTTTACTGAAATAGGGCTGAGACTGTTTTTTCCTGTGGGTTTCCCAACATTCAGCGCTGAACTGGTCTAAGGTTTAAGACTTATTTTGTTACATATGTTAGTAATAAAGGCTTAAAATTCTGAACACCTGAATAGCTATTAATTGCAGTGAAAAAGCAAACTCTAAATTTCCCACTTGATTCAAATGAATCTGTGCAATTTTTGGAGACAAGAAGAGATTTTCGTACATCAGCCTCTGATTTTTACTGACGTCTTCTTGCAATGCCTGTGGGCCTGGGTGTTTGTGCATGGCTTCGATATAGTTAAACCAAAAAACCCTCATTCCCTGCCTGTCCTTCCTTATCAGTCAATGGCTCTTCAGTACTGTCCTGGCACATCTCCTTCTGCCATCCATGGCAGGAAGGGAACAGAAATCCTATGGAAAGACGTTGACCCAGATTTACCCTGGAAGCTGCCAAGCCCAGGAGCAACAGAAAATGAATGCAGGGCAAACGTCGAGGAAGTGTGTGGACCTGCCAGCTCCACAGTGGCGCAGGCAATGAGCTAGTGGATGTCTGGATATCTGCCAGGCGAGCTGCTGGGCATCCAGAAATCCTGGGAAATGCAGAGGGACACTGTGTTCCATGCACAGCAATCCCCACGCTTTGGGAGGCATCAGCTGCCTTCTACATGTGCAGAGGTTATTCAGAGCAATCTAGTTTGGGATGCTTTAAAACATACTTCAGGACACAAAGGACTGGTTAGGACTGTACAGGACTGGGAGATCCCCAGAGGGCCAGTGCACAGACATTGGAAAAGTGGTTAAAGACAGACAAGGGAGCTGGAGGTCTCCACTAGTACTTGTTGCTGTGTATTTGCACAGCCCAAGCTGAGGCACTAAAATTAGGTGTCTGATTATGGACTGTGGTCTCCAGAGCCCCTGGAGACCACAGTCCATAATCCTGGATTCCTTGGAGAGTGTTAGCCTTTCCTGTGGCATGATCTGCAGCAGAGCCTATGCTACATGGGAGAGGAGCCCATCTCACCCAGCAACTGCAGAGGGAGCCATGGTAGTTTGGACTCTTCCCTTGCACACCTAAGCCAAGGTTAAATGAGTTAAGTTAAATGCAGAGTTAAATGCTGTGACCAGCATGTCTGTCAAAGAGGGAAAAGCCATAATGTTTATATCTTTAAGGAGGTATCTGGATGGGAAAAAATATCCTTTGTCCGTAGATGTAAGACCTGTAACCCTCACTGGGCTGCACCCCTGTTGTCCAACAAGAACCACTTCCCTCTGGGTCACACCAGGAAGACTGCTGCTCCTGGCCCTGTTCTAGCTCTTGCCAGAAGTGTAAAACATGGTTTTCATATAGTGAGGTGTCTGAATCATCCTGGGATCTGACTGGCACTTATTACACTCAGTCTGTGTGTAGTGCAACTGTTCCGTGGCTCAGAGATTCATCCTGCTGAGAAATGTTAACTATAGTAACATGTCCCACCTCTCTAAAGGTTTTTGCTCTGGTGACTTCTACTTCTTTGCCTTTAACATGGGACTATCCTTAGCATCAGTAGAGCTCTTCAAGTAGGTTTAGAGTTTTTAGGGTGCTGCCTGTTTTATTTTGTAATCGCTGAGCCACAGTCAGATGGATAATCACCAATGCTTCGTTTAAGGCATTGTTGCATGTGGCAATTCATTAAAAAGCCCCGGGGAACAAGAATAAGGTTTTTATTTTAAAAGCTATAATCTCTGGGACACACACAATGTTCTCTCCCAACTCAGATTTGTCACAGCCGGCTGCTACAAAGTGCCATTCTCTGCTGTAAGCCATCTTCAATGTATTGTCATTATAATTCACTACAGATTTTTTTCTTCAAGTGACATTCAAGGAGGATTGGAGTATGACAGCACATGGCAGAGTAAATATAGTTAGGGAAACATAGGAAGAGCTGACTTTTCCCAGATAGCTTGTGGCTGTTAGGCAGGAGTTTCTTTTTTGTGTCTGAAATGGGAGTAAGCCAAAAGGCTCATGGGTTTACTGCCATTTGTGCTCTTGTTCTTTGCAAAAACAAATAAAACTCTGTCTATTTTCAATACACTAGATTAAGATCTGAGTTCACATTTTGCAGGGTTTGGGAATCAAAGCAAGTCCCTGGCAGGGCCTGGTGTGCACAAAGGGGTTTGAGAGGCTGCCCATGCTGCTGCTGGGCTTTCTGGTGTGGTCATCAATGACCGCTTTGGCCCTTGCCAGGCTGCTGCATCATATGAACAGGGGGGGTCTCCAAATTTGATTTTAGGATTTAAACAATCTCCCTCTGCCACTTATATTTCAGGCAAGAAGTGTTAAGTTCTTCTGTGTAATTACTGCCTGCCCTCCATGTGAAAGGCCCCTCTAACTCATCCAGCTGACTGAGACCCCTCTTGCCTTCAGAAAAAGCCCCTGCTCTGGTGCCACCTTACAGGCACAGCCCTGAGCAGCAGTACTGCAGTTTAGATACTACATTCAAAAGGCTTCAGCAAAGGAAAAACACTAAATGCTGGTAAGTCTTAAACAAATGGAGAATCAGTGGCAAAAACTACAACAGAGATTCCAAACTACTCCAGAAATGTGATGCAATGAAGAAAGGCTCTTATACCCACCATGATGTATAACATGGATAGAAGATGGAAAGGTAGCAGCTGGAGGAGTAAAAGCAACAGTTAAGAGAAAGGCAGATAAGAAGAAGGAAAATTATCTGAGTGCTGATTTGTGGAGGCTGTTCTCTGCTTCAAAGTACCCTGCACCAGCAATACCAAGCATTTTTTTTGGTAATGCATGCATTGGTGAGCACTCTGGATAATGTAATGGCCTACCCTAAGTCTCTGATTTGTAACTGAGTGTATATTTAGCTGTAAAGGTTCTGTGAGGGTAGCAGGTCAGGTGGACTACAGCCCCTCTGCAGACCAAGCTTCTTACTGTACTCAGTAGATACTACTTGTCCTGACATTGCTGTGGTCTTAGAGATTGAATCTCTGTTCAGCTTTGGATGGCACAAATGCAGAAAACTCTTGTTATAGGCTACCTCTGCCTGTCACTATCATATGGATGTGATCTGGTATTGCTGACCCAGTGAAGACAGGCTCCTTGAGTGAGCAGGCACTGCAAAGCAAACAGAAAGGTGATTCTCAAAGCACAAGAAATAGCAAGATTCAGAGTATGGGCAAATAATGATAGTAAAACCCCCTTCTGTTTAAGAAAATTCACACCCATAAATAGACAAGTGATGAATTTACCTGCATAAATGTCTTTCTGCTTTTCAGGAAGATATTACCAGATGAAGACTGCAATAAATCTTGTAGCAGAATTGAATGTTTTACTGAGAGGTCATTTCTTAATTGAAATTGTCCAGAAAGAAGAATGGCTATGAGTTAAGGTATAATTGCAGGGCCACATGCCTTTTGTATGAATAAAGAAGCTGGTCACAGCTTTTCTGTCAAAATGATTACCGACTTGAAAATTATTGGTCAAGTTGGCATTTTTTGTGGAGTGTGTCTCCTTATACAGAAGTATTCTTCATTTGTGTTGCTAGAAGCCTAAACCAGTGCAAGGTCTCAGACACTTATTTCCCTTATGATATCTAACTGAATCACATCTGATTTATATTTTGTCTTGCTTTTTGAAAAGTCAATATTTTTTCTGCATTTTCTCTCCATTGCTCTTGCCTGCCCACTGCTTATGAAGGGAGAAGCTGAGAAATAAAGCAGCCACAGAACAGAGTACCTCTCAATGGACAATGTGCTTTAGCAGTGACTGAGGGCTCCTTTGAAACCAACAATAAAAGCATCTTTTCTGTCGAGGAGTACAAGGCTCACAGGGGCAAGAGACTTTAATGACACCATTATCTTTCAGGCAATTAGGACTTGCTGGCACCATCCAGCACTGGTACAGGCACTGTTTTGATTGCACTGCAATGGCTTAGTGAAATGTAGACTGCTGAGACTTAGCAATACCATAAATCGCTTTTAATCTCAAACCACTGTGGATCAAAACGTACTAACACAGGCATAATCAGAATTCACAGGCATATTTTCTCTTTTAAAAACATATGCCTGGGAACAGAGGGCTCCCTCCTCCCATCAGCTCCCCACACACACAGGCTGTGTGATGCTGATCCTCGCGCTTCTCTCCTGACACGCTCGCCACAGAGACGGGTCTGAGCCTGCCAGCTGTGAGCATGTTTGTTGTCCGTTGTGGATTATATTTTAATGACATACCCTAAGCCTCTTAAACTTGAACAAATGTGCATTTAACTGTCTGTGCATTTGTGCCAGTTTATAAGGTAGAGGGCCAGCCAGCTTATCCCCCAGCTTCTCTGTGAGGGCACTGTCCAAGAATTTTAATGGAGCTTTCAAAAGCCTCCCGTTATGCAAGGTGCCTTAATGGAGAGTCCTCCTGCGTCTGAAAGTTCCCTCTTGTTGCTGGACACAATGAAAGGCAAGCCATAATCTCTGTGGAGAGTGCCCAGATTTTTTCCTGTCGCAGTGTGTAGCTGGGATGCAAAGCACAGCTTGCTCCGCTCCCCTGCCACAACCAGGGGGATTCATTTCATTAGTTTGGAAAGCTATTTTAGAGAGGAGGGAGGTTATGTAGGTCATCAATTCATCCCTGCTGCCTTGAAAAAAGAATTCATTATGAAATTTCACTTTAATTAATGCAATGCACCAGCTTGTAATAATATTTCATCGGGACATCTGGTAAAAGCACATTAGCTACAGTTTAATGTTAAGACATAATTGAACAGAGCTCCTGTTGGAGCTTGGCTTTTGCAATATGTTTTACTTCTGCTTCTCCTGCAAGCTGCCAAATAAAGGAATTCTGGGATTCCCTCATCAGAAGGTGATGGACCCTGACCCAAAGCCTTTTTGACATAACAGAAAAGCTCCAGTTAACATTCACCCACTCTGAAGTGAGTCCCTGAGGAAGAGACACAGCATCAATGCTGTATTTACATACCAGGTACTACTGGTACTTCCACTAATCTATAATCCCAGATATAAAGTAGCAGCCTTGGTGTTTTGTTCCAGTTCTGTTTGAAAGGCCGTGATCAAATGGTCTTTATAAACCATTTTCTATTGGCTTAACTTAGAATCTTTTCCTGTTCTAATTATATATCTGCATAATTGTTTGTTTTAATACTTATTTGATTATCTGCTCAAATTAGTGTCAGTGCAGCAGCTTTCCAAATGCTGTATTAAATATTCACATTCAAATGGGATTTCTTTCTGCCCTTTGTTTTGTAGTGATCTGGACTATAAATGTGAACTCTCAAAAGATTGTAGTTATTTAGTAAGTACTAGGTCATGATTATTTAAATCTAACTAATAGGCTAAGGAGTCTTTGGAAGATTAATATATTTAGAAAAAGTTTGTGAACTGTTTGAAATCTGTTTGATTTGAGGCTGCTGTCTCCACTTCTCCTTTTCTTTTTTTGGGTGAGTGTTTGAATAGCCAATAACAGTAATAAAAAACATCCGCCACCAGCGCAAATGCACATTGTAGTTCCCTTTTACACTCTCCCCCTTCAGCATTTTTTTAACCATTGTTTCTGGGACAGTTTTACTCCCAGCCCTCACTGCGAAGTGACACAAAGACTGAGACGTTAGAGAAGCTTTGTCTGCTGTTTAGTTGCTCTTTGGGTTATTTTCTGCACCAATAGGCAAGAGAGCGGTGCAGGACTGATGTGGAAAAGCACAGTGTATGTACCCTTACTGTAAACCCCAGTGCATTCCCAGCAGTCCTGCTGCCAGCACCTGCACTGAACACACATGAAGGCATCCTGGGCTGTATTGATTTCCCTGCTCATGCCAGATGCCACCCACCCCCTGTGTGTGTGTGCTTGCTGCTGGACATTTTTACAAGTGGCAGGTGACTGACAGAGACCAGGCTGGGACAAGGCCAGTCCACATGGCAGGTAAGGTCATCTCTCATCACAGATGCTCTCCTGGGGTTTAATCTATGTATAAACCACCTAATTCTGGTACCACCTGAAAACACAGACAAATTGTTCCTGCCTCAGCTGGTCGATGCAGATAATTCATTTCTTGTAAATAGGTAAATTGCCCCAAAGAGATGCTAAGACCCTGCTGATGATAGAGGCATGGAGAAGACACAAGCCCAGGCCCACACAATCAAATCAAGGCATTTACCACTCTCCAGGGAGCAGCAGCAGCTCTGCCCCACTTTACAGGGCCTGTGGTAAAAAGCTGTTGCAGACAATAGACACCTGGGCAGTAACAAAATGTTGTGCTATGGCTAGACTGACTTTCCAGTGATTTTTCAGTGCTACAAGTCCCATACTGGTTACAGTAAGAGGAAATCCAACTTAGACTGTTGGTAGACTTGACTAAGTCTGCAGTTTGGCATAAAACATAAGAAAATAGGCAGTAGTCTGGAGCATTGGTCAAGCTGGTGCCAACTCCTGTCTCAAGAAGCAGAGGCAGTTTTTTCCACACTGGCATCAGTACCATTATTTACATGGCTGGGTCTGGTGGCCCTCTGGATGCTGGGAGGAACAGTCACTGGCATTAGACTGTGCCATTTCTTTGTTATTGTCTTAGGACAAAATTGCCAAAGGACCTGTAATTTTAAAATTAAGCACTAGCCTCTGATCCATGGAAACACAAACCAGCAACTTCTCTATCACATCTCTATAATGTGATAAGATGAATCCTAAATTAAGAAGGAGATAGATTGCTTAGGGGGAAAAATCAATTGAAAATACTGAGAAAATGCCCCTTATGGAAGCAGCCTATATCTAGTAGGTATTTACAGATTTTATCAGGAGCTGAAGCTCTCGAGATAGCTGCCCTTAGACCTCTTCTTTTTGCATTTAATATTTATCTTCAGCTAAGCTAAAGCTAATTATAGTTTCACAGCTTAAAGCAAACTGGTCACAAGTCCCAGAAGCATTTGATGTTCGGGCATCTCACCAGCTCTGGTTCTTTGTCTACATTTCAGATGTCTGTGCTTTTTTCTTCAGCCTATGGAACAGGATCTGCCACTTCTAAGTGTCCTGACTGCAAGAGGTTGAATTGTTTCTTGAATGCTTTAAGATCCTGAAGTGAAAAATCATTAGTCCTCTACTTCTTTCATTAGTTCTAGTTCTCTATTCTTTTATGGTAGCAGGTGTCACATGAATTTTCCCAGAACAATTTTTATGTGCTAAAGTAAAACCAACAAAAACCTAGCAGAGGGCCACCTTTGCCTTTAAGTGTTTTATGTTGATGGTGTGACTGCTTTGCTTTCCCCATCCCCTGCTGAACCTCCTCTTCGTGACAAAGCACCTTCTGCCAAAGGCTGCCCAGACACCCCATCACCACACTAACCCTGCTGCCCAAAAGGTGCTGGGGGAGACAAAGAGACTTCACCAAGCCAAGTAAAGAAAACCCATGGGAATGAAACTTCGTGACCAGCTCTGTGGGAGATTCAATGCCATAAACCAGCCCAAGCTCTTATGAAAGTTTGGCGACTGGGATGAGACAAGGCAAGGCAGAAAGCTCCCAGGGGAGGGTGAGTAGCACCCTGTCCCCAGCTCACATCATTGTGCTTTGTTCAACCTCAACAATTGTGTGAGCAAAGCTAGAAGCATCAGCCTTAACTTCAAATTTCCTGCTTTCTGTCGGCTCCATCCCAGGGACTGTTGTTTGAAGCTCTTATTATGCAGCTTGTAGAAAAGAACTCCCTGCTTTATGGGGACATGGGCAATTGAGTTGCAAAGAGGCATGCCCAGAATCTGTCTGGGTCTGGGCTGGTTGGGCTTGACTACTGTAGTGAGAGGAGCTGCTGTCACAGAAGCCACATGATAACCACCTCTGTGTGTGGCAGCCCAAGGAGCAGCTCGTGACTTGTTCAGCTGGGCTGACTTCTCAGCAGAGATTGTCTTAATCACGAGCTGTATAATGTCTCTTGCCCAGATTTGCAGAGGATTTGGCTTTATAGAACAAGGTCCTGATTCACAAAGCTCCTTCCTTTGCCTCCTGCTCTCTTATTGACCAAATCCAGGATATTGCCTGAGTCCCTCTCTTTGGCTCCTGGATCTGACCACATGCCCAGTCTGAGCTCTCAGACAATGTTGCACAAGGAGTAGTGATGCTTGTGGTAAGTCACAGACTGCTGTGTTTGGCTTGGCATGATGTTGCTGGTCCCCCAGGATATGGCAAAGGGATCCCTAAATTCAAAATAATTAAAAGAGCTGTCCAGAACTGCCAGGATTAGGGGATGTTGGCTGTCACTACTCTGCACTCAGCACTGCTGAACATCCCCCTCCTGTCATTAGCAGTAACCGCTGCACTCACCCACCTGTCATGTCTCACCTGCCGGGTGTGAGCCTTCCTTCCCTGGCCCTTCCCTTTGGCACAGCACTGACACAGTGCCTGCATGTTTCTCCTGCCTTGTGAAGTTTTGACCTGCCTGACCTGCTGGCCACCCTTGAGTGACTTCTTGGAGCTGGAGAGAATTAGCAGTGATTGGCCACAGTGGTAGGAAACCCCTTCAGACCAGAGCCCTCCTCTGTGCCGTGACTCCTTGTGCCTCCCCATCATGGGATCCAGCACATGCAGTCGTTTCTTTCCCAGCTCTCTTCTGCTGCAAGCAAGTCCTGTGTCATCCCAGAAACCATCTATGAGATCATCTATGAAATATTTATTTCCTTTGCACACAAGAGAAAAGGAAGCAAAAGGCCTGCATAATATTGATGGAATCCTTGATAGCCAAACGTTGAATTATTTACAGCCTAATTGTGCAACTGATGCTCATGAGATCCTAGGATGCAAAATTCAATTAATACATTTCACAAAATTAGTTACTTCTACTTCAGACTTTGTCTAGTTGCATCAGTGAGTCGCTAAAACACAGGTAACATCACTTTGCAGGAGAAGAACTAGGGTATCCCCAGACACTTGAAATATCCACTCACTTTTCTCAGAGCGCTGCTGTGAAATAGAAAAGGGTTCCCAAAGCACCTACTGGCAGCCCCAAGGTACACACCTGGAGCCATTTCAGCTGCTCCTTTCAAGAGTCCTTGACTGATGGGTGCTGCTCCAAAAGGGCCCAGATTTCCCATAGGTCTCGTGTAACGGCTGAAACTCACAGGTAAGTGCCCAGGGTACCCCCAGGCATCTTCAGATGGCATTAAATACATAAATGAAAGACACTCAGTTTAGCCTGTGTGACCACTGAAGATCTCCCAGCACAGGGAGCAGTGACCAAGAACAGCAACCCTTCCCGTGCCCCAGCATCCTTCCTCTCCTTTTCACTGTCATGTTTGCTGTGAGTGCAGTCCTTAATAAATGCACTCAAGCTCCTCCTTCCTTCCCAGCCTACAGCAGATTGAATAGGTTGACCAGTGAACCCAGCCAACAGAAAGCAATTTTGAGACACAGAGCTCTTCTGTCCATTCCAAGGTATACAGGTTGATGTGGCAGTTGTCACAGGGCCTTGGCTATTTCCCTAATGCCAAACTTCTCTCAAGCCCTCTCTCTTCCTCATTAATAAATATCTGAACTCTGACATCTTAAATAGACCATAAGTTGAATCTCTTAAACTATCTTCTGTATTCCTCATATATTCTGCTCTTAGCAGAGCCTTGAGGGGGATCATCTCCTTCCCAAGCACTTCAGCAGAATTTAGGGACCATCCCTTGAAATCACTGGAGCTGAATAAGGCTCTGGGCAATCCATTTTGGCCTGAGAATGGTAACAAGCTAAAAAAAAACCCTGAACCAGCATTACAATGCTGTCCTCTCTGTGCCCAAAAATGCTCATTTCCTCTCCAGACGAGACACACCATGTATGTCTAAACCCCTCAGCCTGTCCTAATTTGCAAATTCTAGAACAGCTGTAGGTTAAAAGAGCCAGCCACAATTAATTATTGCAGATTAAGGAACTGAGCAACATACTGCAATGGCCTCTTGTTAAACTGAAACATCTGATTCAAACCAAGCAATTTCAGCCCCTTGCTTCTCTTGTTCACCATCTTGTGTTTTGCTGCTGAGCACCATTATCTGAACATGGTTTATTTAAATGTACCCATGCTATTAAAGAGCAGCTTTGCCAGTGACAGCACTAGTCTTGGCTGAGGCAGCCAAGAAAGTAGGTTTGTAGGTGGCCACAATGTACAGGCCTCCTCAGATGTGGGGTGGTGTTGTTTGGTTTTGCTGCTATCAGGCTTTTGTGCTATTTAGAGTTAGCAGGCAGAGAGGGACAATTAAACCCTGCTCATCCCAAAGAAATGTGTATTTATTTCAACCAGGTACTGCTCCTTTTCCTCCTTCCTCCCCCTCTTTGAGAGACATGAGGTTGACAAACAGGTGATTTGGCTTGTACAGCAAATGTCACGTACCTCAGAAGTTGGTAAGAAAACAAAGCCAGTGGCTGCCTTATAGGTAGGACCAGAGAGAGGAAACAGCAACATGATTTACCTGAAGGCAGCATACAGCTGCTATGGGATCCAGATCAGGGAGGTGATGACACCTTTGCAAAGCCAAAACTTAGGTGGCTTAGTAATTGTTGTTTGTTGTTCTACAAATATTATTCAGTCTCTAAAATAGAAAAATGAGGTTATTTGGCTATTAAATACCAGTAAATCTGTAATGATTTACTCCTCCTTTTATTTTGTTTGAAACGGTGTATTGAAAGCAAGGTCAGCTCTATGGCCAACTCTACCTTGCCAGTTCCTGTTTAACAGAAGAGGAACCAGACTGCTCTGAGACAAGGAAATGATGATTTACCCAGGGGCTGAAGATGATGTTAGTCACTTGCACCATCCACTCTTTGGAAATGAGCCCCATGTGTGCTCTTACAGGGTCCTTCTCCAGACTGCCCCTGACCACAACAAAAATGTCCCTATCTACTGGATGTTCCATAGAAAAAGCCACCCACAGCACAGTAGTTGCTCTCTGCAGTGTGTCACCAACTGGAGTCTCCCTGCCCAGGTCTGTAGGTGCTGTGAGGGGCAGGGAAGGTGCTTTCCATTTCCCAACGGCCCTGAATATGGGTGGGTTAGGTGGCAGAAGGCTTTGCATATCTCGCTATTTTCAGCACCCTAGGGTTGTCAAAGATGCAATCCTTGCTGGAAAACATTCCTTGCTACAAACAAGCTGATGAATATAGAAGACAACAGCCATACCCATTGGCCACTATTCCATATTCTGTTGTTAATCTGCTCCTTTCCCCTCCTCCTCCCCTCCATTATGCTGCAATAGCTGCTAGTTGCTAAAGGAACTGAAGGAACAATTAAGAAGCTTTAGAAAAAGCAGATAATTTCTCACATGCGGTGCTGAGTACGCAGCAGATGTGACTCAAGAGACATGCTGTTTTCAGGCAAGCATTCCCAAGGGTTTAGATAAAAATAATGATGTGGTGTTTCAGCAGAAATCTAGTTATTTTTAAGTGGAAGGGCTCTAGGGGGTATTAAAAGAGCTCCCTGAAAATGCCATCATCTTCTTGTGTGTGGGATCCCCTAGCATTAGGAGTGTATAATTAAAACTATTAAGCCAGTAGTCAGGCTAGACAGGGATTCTGGTAGGGAAGTGGTTACAAGGGTGATGGTCAAAGAGGGTGGTTGCAAAGATCACACAATTTCTGATTCCCTAGAGGTTTTCAAAACAGAGCAAATGAAATGCCTACAGGGAGATCTTCCTCCAGAAGGCAGAGGCAAGTCTCAAGGACCAGAATTTGAAATAGATGGCTTCAGCTGCTGCAGCTCTGTTCAGCCAGCACTGGGAGAAATGCTGAGATGGTTGGGAGCCACATCTCAGCTGACACAGCATGTTGCTACTTCACTGAAGTGTGCAGCCCACATCCAACCAAAGAGTCCATGAGAGACACTTCTTTCCAATATCCCCCTGCTTAATCCATTCCCAGCATCTGTTCCCACACCACAGGAGACAGAGGCAGCAGAGCCAGCATTACCCTAAGCAGCTTGCAGAGCCAGTCACAGACTTTTGCCAGCCTCTGGCTATGATGAAGACTGGACAAATTAACATGTTTCCATTAGCCTCATTCACCAAAATGATCAGCAGCCAACTCGCTTCTAAAAAGAGGCCTGGCAAAGGGTCAAGAAATGAAATGTAGTGGCAAATAGACAAGTATGGACAACTAAGTTTGTGATGATCCATCATCTTGGATGGATCTTCAATATCCAATACCAGGATTTTCTGTGCACAGACACATAAATCTCAGGCATTCATACTCTGCCAATATTTTAAGTCTTGCCCACAAAGCATATTTGAATAGGATTCAAGCTGATGAAAAGCAAGTTGCTACTTTTAAACAGGTTTGGTGACCATGTGAATGGAGCCAATGGATTCAATCCAGCAGATGACATTCCATTAAAGACAAATTTGCTACTGCAGTTCTTACTGCCAGAAAAGGTGTGAAAGAGCACGTGGCCCCTCCAGGATATGCACAGCCATATTTCTGGTGCTACCGCCATCAGTTTGAATGCTTGCAGGTTTTTTGTCTTGTCTTTTCATAAGGCATATTTAGTCCTTGCTGTTTTCAGGGAGACATTTTAGATACAGTCAGCTTATGAAGAGACACATCCCACTTGAATCATTTTAAAAACACCTCTTCCTTTCAAGTCACCAACTTGGCGAAGGAGGGAGAAGAAACATTGAGCCAAAGTCCATAAACAGATTTTTTTTCCTGCATGTGTGAGATGAGCCTGGGAAAAGCAAAACAATTAATCTACCCACGAGTGGCTTTGCAGGGAAAGGTTAAGGAATAATAGAGAGTGATTTAAATTGCACCACTTTACATGCATTTATGAGGGAGAAATTCAACACCCAAATAACAAATTCAGTTCAGATTTTACTTCCTTTCTCCCTTCCCCTCCACCCCCCTCCCCCAAAAATGACATACCCTTCCATCTGTAAATTACTTTAATTTAAATACTTCCAGGTTAACAAAATGTCTTAAAGTTTGACATGTCCGAAGTTACAAAACAGAAACAAAACTTCTTGACAAAGGGTAAGGAAAAAAAAAAAAAATAATCCAAGCCCAAACCTCCTTTCCTAAGCTGGAGCTTATGGTCTGTGAGCTGGCGACCCTCCAGAGTCTGACACAATGTCTGGAGCACCCAGAGCAGCTGGAACTAATTTTCTTCCTCCAAATCTATGCACTTTCATATAAAGTTGTGTTTTGGCACTGCCGCCCAAGAGAGAGTTCAGTGCAAAAAATCTAAGCCTGGCCGTTGTTTCTTTGCAACCCAACACTTGCTGAGCAAACAACACAAAGGAAGAAGAGGACAAAAAAAAAAATCAAGAGAAAGAAAAACCCTTTCCCTTCCCCCACACATACACAGACAACTGTACCAAACAGGGGGGCTATTCAAGGCTGTTCAGAAATGGGTCACAAAGAGAAATGTTTGCAGATAAAACCAACACTTTTTTTTTAACTTCTGCCTTGTTTGGTTTTTTTTTAATAAACATCATGGAGGCCCCTGGAAGGTGCTGGGGATGTTTGAGAGTTGAGGTCCTGCCGATCCCTTCCGCCTCCCACTGGCACAGCTCCCACGCTGGCCCTGATGTGCAGCCCCTCTCCGGGGGGGTCCGGACCCTCTGAGCCGCCTCCTCCAAGTCTGAGCTGCCGTGGGGAGCCCGAGGGGCCACGGGGCCATGTGGGCATCAGCATCCAGCTGCGGCTCCTCGCCTGGGCCGGCGGTGGGTCAAGAGGGGAGGAGGGAGGCAGCCAAGGCACTCCCAGGGTGTGCCGTCACAAAATCACGCACTGGAGTTTATGGGAGCCCGTGGCTCTGTCCCCTCGCCATTTGGTCTTTTTCTTCTTCTTCTGGCTTTTCTCTGGGATCTGTTGCCTGTTTTGGGAAACAGAGAAGAAAGCAGGCAGGTGAGACATAAGGCTGGGTTGGATCCAGAGCCCTGGGCAGCCTGCAGAGCAGCATCTTGGCATATACGTATCTCCATATACCCTTCCAGCACTGCATGGCTTTTCATGCCACACAGCTGAGAACTGCCTGCACTCTTCAGGAAGGAGGAAAGAAGCCATTAAGGCTAATGGCAGGGATCTATGTCCTGCCAGGGCATTATGCCTCTGGGGTGAACTGCTGCCTCCTCCCCTGCCACCGGGGCTGCTCTGGGAAACAAGGATGCTCTGAGCTATGCAACATCATCCATTACACTGCTGCTGACAGAGCAGGGAAGAGGATGAGAGAGATACAGAGAGCACAGAGAAATATGCTCTTCTGCCTTTCAGCTGGCATTGCCCTTAGCCAGCTGCACTGATGCAGACTTGGTGATTGAGGGGGGATAAAAAATAATAAACCAAAACCAGAGTTTGCTGCCAATGGGGCTCTGGCTTCCTCTGAAGTTGTGAAGAGCACCTGGGCACAGAATGAGCTGACCCCAGAAAGATGTCCCTGGCTGTGTGAAGTCAGAGCCACCAGGAACACACAGCTGAGAGCCTTCCTGCACTGTGCCATGGAGCTGTGAGCAGCCTCTAAAGCATTCTGTTCAAGGTTTCTCCCTGTCCAGTAAGATGAGGCATTGCCCAAATGCCTGTTTGCAGCTGCACCCAACTGCAGCAGCCACTCTGCCAGCCCAGCAGTGCAAACCCAGCAGAAGGCTCTGTAGCTCTAACACCGACAGGCAGCCTGCAGATGTAGATTTTAGGGCAAGATAAAGCATACAAACACCAGCAGCTTCTGTAGATTCAAACCTGAGAGTCTGAACAGTTCAAAAGCAGCCTGTTTGTCATGTAATTTGCCAGGCATTAAACCAAGTGTCCATACCAAGTAATCCAGACCAGGATGAGACATCACTGGGGCATAAGTCACTATGGCTTTAGCTGATGTTTCTCTTACAGCCTCAGCTTCCAAATTCTTGCAACCATCTGAAAAACTCAGCTTTGACTAGTTAGACTTTTTATCCGTGAATATGAAGGCTGGAGGCATGAAAACCATACCTTAAAGCTCAAAACTGGAAGGATGACATTCAGAAAATACTTCAGATCTGGATAAAGACTAAGTAACCACAAGCTGTTCACACACTCTTCTGGATCTGTTTTAGAGATGCAGAAATCATACCCTGGGCCTGCTCAAGGCTTCTGCTGTGACAGCTCCTGTGTGTGCACTGCTGCAGCATAAAAGGGGCATCAGGAAATTTAAAACACCTATCAGGTGGACTCAATCACCCCACTCCTTTCTGGATTACCTCCAGACAACAGTTTCTTGCATGAAGCTAAATACACTGGGAGTCAGCCAAGTGCAAGGAGCCCAAACCCTGAAGGAGCATCCTCACCCTGAGAGCTCACAAGGGCTCTGAGGAAGCCCTTCCCAAAAACCAAGCAAAGCTGCTTTGTGGCCAATGACCAGCCAGATCACACAGCATCTCCCTGCTCTCTGACTTAACCTGAATTCCAGCTCTTGCGAACAGTTTTGGTGCCTTTGACATCACAGAGGGTTTCACCTGGCTGGCAAGGACTTTCACAGTAGCTAGTCAGGAAACTGAGGTGTACCACTTATCTTTGGGCTTATGGAGTGCATTTTCACGGCTTGAAATTAGTAATGCCTCATTACAATACACGCCTCCTTTCAGCCTGCCTGGAATTGTGTTGTGTAGAGAAAGCAAACAAAGCCTTTCCATCTTATTTTGGCTGTTTTCCTTCCCTGCAGAGCAGAATGGATGGTGGTAAGAGCTTGCTGCAGCACAAAAGTAGTATCTAGCCAGCTAATACCGAGTACAGAACAGTTGGGAAAGAGCCTGGGACACTTCCAACTCAGCTCTCCAAAGACTTTCTGCCCTCTGCTTTTGAGACATGTGGGAAGAGTGGGCAGTACCATCTGCTTTTGATGGAGGCTGGCTTGAGGCTGTGCTAGGATATTCACAAGTACAGATATGCTGTGAATAAATGCCTTGTGGTTTAATTGCCGGGCGAGGCACTTCGACTGCACGGCAGGGAGGAGCATGATTCCAGCTCAGCCCCCTCCCAAAACATGAAAAATGAGGGCCCAGAAAATCTGGCAGACAACTAGTGCCAGAAAAACAAATCTCAGAGAGAACTGAGGTTATCAGCTGAGATGCTGGGATGTGTGTGCAGCTCTTTTCCTGCAGGGGAGCCGGGGTTTGGGAAGGCAGTCCCTCCCTGCTGGCAGCGGAGCAGGGCTTCGCCCAGAGACTGTGTATGCCAGAAGGAGCAAAGGCAGCTCATGCCAAAACTGGGAACAAACCTCTGCAGTCTGAGGAAACCTGGGGCTTAGCCATTAGGTCATGCAGTTTCTCATACAAAATGGCTTAATTTTTTCCATTTAGTTAGCAGAAAATGTTAGAAGTCACTTACAACATTAGAATTTTGTAGAATTTTTTGCCAGTCCATTTTAACTTCTGGCAAGGCAAGACCCTGAGAAGACAAAACTATGAAAACCCAAATTACTGGTCCAGAGCTTCCAATGCCAGCCTTTTAGAGCTGATCATTATAATACACTTTTTGTCCACTGAATAAAACATTTTCATTATGGCCACAGCTATTTCTTACTGTGCCTGGTACTGACATCCTGCACAGGTAACTAAGTGCTAGTAACATACCTAAGCAGATATAGGACAATAAAGTTAATAAGCACCAGAAATATCCCACCCCCAAGAAAACCTGGCTCCCCAGCAGCTGCCTCCTGACTCTCTGGGCCATGACTCCTGCACATCCCTGGCAGTAAGGAAGGGAGGAGTTTGCAGCTTACCTTATTACCCTCACGAGATCATGGAAGGCCTTGTCCACGTTCAGAGGTGGGTCCTTGGCACTCGTTTCTATATAGGGAATCTGGAGGAGAGAAGTGTATCATGAAAAAGATCAGTAACAGCCTACGTGTTGGGATAATACCAGTTTCAAAATGAAAAGCCTAAAGGCTGGAGAAATGGGCTGCTAATACCAAGGAAATTCAGGTAAATAAAATGTTGCCATGAAACCGCTATCAACACCCTCACGCTCACAGCAAGGTCAGGGAGCTCTTACAAAAGGTCTGGAATAAGCACCAGGCTAAACAGCTGCTATCAGAGCTCTGGGTTTGGGGGAGAATAAACCCAGACTTCATGTCGTCAGATGTTCTCTCCCCCTGAGCTGTGCTCACAGACATGAAAATAGCCGAAGGTTGTTGAAAGACCAGCACTTGCCAAAAATTCTTGCTTGCCACATTTTATTGGGACTACTGCATGAATATTTCATGACTACAATTCCCCTTCAGTGTAAAATGATCTTCCCCTTCAAAGTCTGACAGCCAGATGGGGCCTCCTAGAGTGCTTGTCCAGCACACTGGCAGATTTATAAAACTGCCTCTGATAAGGTATTTTCATGCATGGCCTTTTCCAAGGCGTGTGTATACAGATGGATACAACATGCTGTGCTGCAGTTTAGGTGTCCTGGCTCTGACAGAAACCAGATTCCTAGGGGAGGGGTGGGGAGTGAACCTGCCCTCCCATCGTGGATTGCTCAGAAACCACCACACAGCTTGTCCTTTAGGCACAGCAAGCTGCAAAGAGGTTCAGGCTTGTTTGCCTTTAACCTTTCCATTCAGTTCCACCTCCTAAGAGAGTTGTTGTCTCCCTCTGGGTATTCAGGGCTGCTGGCATTTAGAGGTGATTAGCTGAGCAGCATGTGATCTACACCCATCTAAGACCAATTTCTCAGGCTAAGCTAACAGCATGAATAATGCAGAGCTAAGATGGTGGGCCAGATTTATATAGGCTTAACAACCCTGTTAACTTCATTATCTTTAACAAGCTCAGGCACCTGGATATACCTCCTGATGCCTAACTCTGCCTTTTCACTCCAGGAGAGCACACTTTCTTCCCTCATGCTGAACACTTCAGACACGCTGTACCTAAGCCTTACCACAGCTCTGGTAGAGCCTGGTGCACAGCAGAGGTTCTGGTTTCAGTGATGAACTGACCCTACTGAAAGGAGACTGCATAGCTGCTACTTTGTAGTAGTCAAAAATGTATTTATAAATGTTTAATTGTAAGCTTTAATTCAGCTCCTAATGAGCACAGATTTAAGTTCTGAACACCTGTAATAGGACTTTCAATAACTAAATAATCCTGCAAACTTACGTTATGTTTTGTTGCCATTTCTCTCCCCTGTTCTCTTGTAATTTTCCGTAAGTGCATTAGATCAACTTTGTTTGCCACCAAAATCATTGGAAAAGACTCCCTGGAAAAAAATCAAAAACACCACCCAATTATTAGCAGATTACAACAAAAATTATGAGCATAAATTTCACTTTTTAATGCTGACATCAAACATTTTCAGCTACAAACATACCATGTATGTGTAAAGAAATATAAAGAAAACCCCCAGGCTCTGCTATACATATGTTCATATTGTAAAAATTCACTTGACAATTTGCATGCATGCACACATTCATTGCTATTTGTAGGCACCTCAGAATTTATTGTCACCATTCTTGCTATGCCTGATGATAACTAAGTCTGAAGATCCAACTAGGTGAAGAAAGATCTAGAGAATTAGCCAGAAAATCAACTGAGACATAAAGACAGATCTTGGACAGGAGACTGGGACTCTTTTGTAGCAGCTAAGGCATCTCAGTAACTGCGTATCTTGGCAAGATACTGAGGGATGATGGAAGAATTGGAGTAATTTCATTCCTGGTCATCCACTGAAAGTAACCGTGGGGGAAAGAAAGATGGACTCTGGGAGCTGGTGCTTAGAGAGGCATCAAATGGTGGAGAAAATGAGTGAAAGCAAAAAGATGCCCATCAGCTGTTACCACAGGACAAACTGAGCTTGGCAGTGGTAGCTGGAAGGAGGCTGGAGGGAGTCAAAGAGATTTGCCAAGCTTCCAGTGCTATTACCTACCATCTCCTGTTTCTAATCCCAGAAAAAAATACCAAACCCATCTCTTCTCTGTAATAATACTCAGTATTTCCTTAGCTACCAGGCATGTAAGTGCCTGTCTCCAGCCACCACCTGCAAAGATTCATCTATCCACCACAACTCCTGTGCCAGGCTCTCCCCCTGCAGAAAGCTCCACTGTTCCAGTGATAAACAGAACCAAGACTGGGAGCCATGGGAGATGTTGGCAGTGCCATTCTCTCCTCTGGCTTCACGAAACAGAGCAATCAGCTGCTGCAGGGCCTCTTAGCCACTGCTGGGAGGGAGGCTGTCCCTTTTGATCACTGTCAGTTACTGCAGTATTGTTGTCTTATATTTAACTTTAAACCCTCCTAATTGATCTCAGTGTTCCCTGCTGTAACAGAGCTCATTTTACTGGGGTGAGGAGCAGCTGGCCATACTCATTCCCTGGGTAACTCTGGATTTTTAAACAGAGTTTCTGGGTCATTTTTCATCGAGATGATAAGAGCTCCATATTCCCTCTGGCATCTTGCCCCATTGCTCTGGCTGGAAAAATACTGTACTGCACTCTGCATTTTAAATGAGTCTTAGAGTTATTCATTTTGATAATGTGACGGTGATTTAATGTTAATACCTGAGCATTGATATATCTTGACTCTGATCCTTCTGGAGCAAAATATTTGCTTGTCTGGATTATTTGATTGCTTTTTGGCTTGCAGCACATTGATTAGAAAGGGATTACTTTTGGATGGTATCTCATTTGCCTTGTTTACATCAGGCATAAAGCTCTATGGGGACTTTGTTCCCTATTGTAAGCTGTACAACTGCTAGTAGGACAAAGCTGCTACAGTTGGAAATTTTAATATAATGAAAGTTGCAGAAAGAAATGGGAGGAAGGCTTTGAATAGCCCTGCTAACACAGCAGCCTGCAATTCTTTTGGATTTTAAAGCAGCCAAAACTGCCTGCCAGACTGAAAAGCAGGGTGATGCTCTGCTCCCAGCTACCTGTGGGTTTTGCAGGAGGGATTTTTTACTCACACTGCTCCCACTGCTGCGATTTGCTGACCAAGCTCAGGTTCTGGATGAAGCATTAATACGCTCCTCACGCTCGGAGTGGCGCTGAGCGAGGAAACACAAACAACCTCACCAGCCTGTTTCACTTCCTGCCTCTCACACTGCTGCAGCATTTGCACGGCGTATGGAGGGTAAAAGTTTCAGTCCAGAGCAAAGAGCGAACACTGCATCTTATTTTCACCAAGTTAAATTAGATAAAATCAACATCAGATTGAGGCAGGTTACAGGAAATTCTGTCCCCGTCTCCTTCAGCTTTTAGAAACAGATTTACTTTGCCCCAAGCTAAGCCAGCATTGCTGAGACTGCTGTGATCTGAGAGGCTGAGAGACTGACATTCTTCTTCGTTTAAATAAAATCAAAGGGTGGTTTTTCCTTTACTTTTCACCCTTGTGGGCTACACTTTGGATGCTTTACTGGAAGAGCTGTCAGCTGTGAACCTCACATGATACGAGTCCACCCTTCCTGTGGGGAAGTTATTCAGCGCTGTGAAAGGAAGCCAGCAACGAGGCCCAAACCCTCTGGTGACTTTTCTTGATGACTTCCATAATTAAAAGCCATTATGAGCGGAAAAACTAAGTGTTTCAAATCTGCAGACATATAAGAGCTTAATTCACACCCCACCCAGTGAGGATGGATCCACTGCTTCTTGAACCAGGATGGGAAGAGGGAGTTACCTTGGAGATAAACCAGCAGCTTCCCCTCACTCTGCCAGGACACGTTTATTTACCATGATTAAACTCCCAGTGCTATCTTCTCCCCTGCACATGCAAGGAGGAGAGAGGTGACCCCTCTTGCTGTCTCTTCAGGCACAGACAGCTGTTTTATTCTGTGCAACTGTTTGCTGCAGAGCACAGTGCATTAACTACATTACATCCCTGGTAAGAAATACAGTTCCTTCCAGCATGAGTTTTTTTCCCCTTCAAGACACTTGTCCACACCCCTAAATAATGCAGGGCCTTCGAAGGTGTGTTTGGCACAAGCCAGAGTAAGGAAGATGGTGCCAGCACACACAGAATAATCAGGGCTGAATACTTGCTGACTCCCTGCTGGTGCCTGCACTGTGCACAGAGCATCCTTCCCCCTCTTCAGAGCTGAGCTGGTTACCTTCAAAGGTGTCTGATCTCTTTCTCACACTGCTCTGCCAGGCCATTCTGGCAGAAGTTTCTCCCTTCCAAGTGTAATTTCACTCCATTGTAGCACTACTGACCCTTTCCACATTGAAAGTACTTAATGCTTATCAGAAGAAGTAAACCACTTATTCACCACACTGAGGTCCACAAATCCCACACAAGGATTCATCTCAGGACACCCAGAAGGCAGAAGTCAGGGTGAGATGTACAATCAGGATGGTTGGCAGCCTGGTGGGTCAGGCAGTGCCCAGCCCCGTGGCACCCACCTGTCCTTGACTCGGAGGATCAGCTGGTGGAACCGGTCCACGTGCTCGAAGCTGGCCTTGTCTGTCACCGAGTAGACAATAAGGAAACCATCTCCAGTCCTCATGTACTGCTCCCTCATTGCACTGAACTCCTCTTGGCCTGCAGTATCCAGAACTAGGACAGAAGAGACAAAGGTTTTTAGTTCTTGTGAGGGACCTGTAGTTGCTGGCAACACTGTGTGTCCATTCTGCCTCTGCAGGGCTTGCTCAAAGACTGTAAGATCTGATGAAATCAAATTGGATGGACAAGGGGTTTCTGTCCCAGACCTCACTCATCCCCATGTGCCTAAGTTGGGAGCAGATGGAGGGGAAGATGACTATGTGGATTTCATTTTCATTTTCCATTACCAAATACTGATCACTGATTTTGGAGATCCTCTGCCAAGATATGGCTCTAAGTATTTCACAGCCCTCCCAACTTTTCCCTCTCCCAGCAAAGAAAACCCAAGACTGGAAGACTAGCTAAAAGCCAGTTTAAATGTCAGGGATAACCTACAAAATGCAGGGTGAAGTGGAGTTGAGAGACAACTCAAAGTAACAGCTACAATAATTTTCCTTTTCTCAACACCTGGATATTATTTCTAGACAATTTTGTCCCTTCAGAGTGAGTCTTGGGGCACTCCCCTTAAATATTTAGTCCCACATGGTGTGCTAAGGAGCTAACTAAAGCAGATGGAAAAGCTTTAAGTGCCTTGCATATCCAATACAGTGATCACATTTCTGTAAATCCATGTTGAAATCCCCTAAAACACCTCAGTTGTGACAGCCACCCCGATGCTGTTCCCCACTAGATTAAACCTAATGGAATCATAACTTGCTGGTTCTCCACAGATCTGTCTCGCAGGGCATCCCATCACCTGTGGAACAAGCTACCCCAGCCTTCTGGGCAAACACCACATCCTGATACACACATTAGCGCTAGTTCCTGAACCCCAGCTTTGTGCACAACCAGGATTTTGAGTGGCAGGAGGAGGGTGCAAGAGGAGTTCATCAGTTTAGGCTATGCCAGTACCAACATGGGGGACACTCAAAGTGCATCAGCTGCTCAGAAGCACTAGTCCTAATGCATCGTTGCACTCCAGAGGCAAACGTGGGACCTTAATGATGACTGGGAACATTTTCACATTCCAGTCCACTGGGCTGGGTGGGAAAACTGTTTTGCCTCTGCTGTACATCCCTGGTGTAAACAACTGCTGCCCACAAGAGATGGGGAAAGCTCAGGGCAGCCGTGGTTGGAGACAGCGGAGACAGTGGCAGGAGCATACTGCTGACAGAGCAGCAGGGCTTGATACAGGTTTGCCTAGTCTGAACGGGCCCACAGACCCAGCAAGGTGTTCCCTGTAGGGCTAAGTGCTCAGGCTGCCCCAGTTTCCAGATGGGACCATGATAAAGACCACTTTGCTGCATCACCACAGGTGGACACGCTGCATGTCACAGCGCACCCCACGAGCCAGCCACACCTCCACTGCACGTGTGGAGGAGAGACAACTACACTGGACAACTTGGAGACCTTCCTTAGTGATGGCAGGCCCTTTAAAGCCTTCAACCTCATTTGTTCTCCTGCCTTAACTGCTGTTGAATGTCTGTTTTCATGAGTTCTTAAGGTAAAAAAGAGCTATTAGGCTTTTGCAAAGATCCTAAGATTTAAGTTTATTTGCCAAGATTATTGGAAAGTCACCTGATTCTCTTCATAGCCTCTTATCCTGCTCCTCCCCTCTAAATCTAGGAAGCAAGGGTTTCAGCTCAAAGGCATTAAGGCTATTCTTAAGGACTGTACAAAAAAAAACAGAGAAAGAAAAAGGAAATAGAAAAACCCAAAGAGACTGCATGTGCTGGTAAATTTCTATGCCCTGGGCAGAATTGCTACCATGGAATAAGGCCAGTACTCTGGAGCTGGGACAGAAGAGGAAATTAATCTCTCCTACCTGCCCAACCTGTACGGAGAGGCTGGGCTGCCCTCATCTGACTCCTGCAGCAGCTAGACACGGTGTCAGGGCAGGGCTGAGAGCTGACAACCAGCACACAAACCCAACCTGTGGTGGAGTGGGAGAGCTCCCTGCTGAGAGCTGAGGCCTCCTGCCCTCCCTCCCCCTGAGACAGGGCAGGTGCCCCAGCACAAGCTGTGGGCAGGAAGGTGGAGATGGATGTGCTGTATCCTGCATGGTAATTTGCTTAGGGACTTCCCCTTGCTCTGGCACATTTGCAAACTTCCCATGAAATATGTAAGAAGCATCCAGCTCTGCCTTTGCACCTATCAGGCCATCCCCAGCTGCTGCCCCTGCAAAGCTCTGCATCCCCTGGGAGAGGGGCAAGCCCTGGTGGGCTGTGGGGATACCCCACTGCATGGGCCTTTCCATCCTTGCCTGGATCTTGGCCATCACACTAAACACAGGCAGAGCTGCTGTGTCAGCAGCTGCTACTTAAATGGAATTCACTTGCAGCATTGATAAAAAGGTGAGCAAGTCCAGACAGCATTTAAAATTGCACTTAGAAAGTGCATATAAAAGACACACAGCAGTGAAGGTTAATCTCAGATGGGTTATTCATACCAAGTTAAGCATTGTGTAGATGGACAGAGAAAGTCCTTGTCTTAATTTTAAAGATCCTCTACATCAAGGCAAACCCCCAGCCTAACACTTCTGTGCTTTGTGAGTTATCAACAGTAGAGGAGAGTGATCTAGATCTTCTGTAGGCAGGACAGGGCCACATCCTAAAAGCATCAGCACCAAAAAAGGGCCAGATGTAAGTGACTTTGCTTGTGGTGTTACCTTGCAGCATAAAAGCTTCAAGAAGACTCCTACCTACAGGAATGGGAAAGTGGCAAGAAGAAACCTTGGGAAGGGGTAAATCACAATGTGACTGGCTTCCCAAAGGGATGAGGAGATTTAGCCAGCATTCACCTTCTTTTAAAACTCCTGTTTCTACAGACAAGATGCCAGAAGACAGAAATAACCAGGAGTAGAGAACTGTGAGCTGGTACACTTTAAACCACCTGTTGCCCCACTGGCAGCACATAAATGCCAGCATGGACCAAAGCACAGCGAGTTTCTCCTACCTCATTCTTCCAAGAACTGAAATTGGAGTCATAGGTTGCCAGTGCATTGTTAGGGACTTCCAACAGAAAACCTGGTGAAGTTCTCACAAATTTGACCTAAGAAGCAATGAGGAACAATTGGGAAAGCATTTGGGTAAGCTGAAGGAGAGAGAAGCTGAGGAGGATGTCTGATGTAGGAACAGACATCCAAAGAGGGCAAAGCCATTTACAGCTATCATGAGACCAGCTGGAGACTAAACTAAGAGCAATTAGGCTGTGAGAGCCCAGCAGGAAGGTCTCCTGCTTTGCAGGTAAGAGGTTGCTGAGTGAAGAGATGCCCTTTTCCACTTTCCAGTGGATGGGACCCCCAGCTGCTGTGATGAACTCCTTTCTAATTGAACCCTGCCCCTTTAGAGCTCTCCACACCATTTTCCTGGGAATCCTGATGGGTTATGCAAGAGTGCAGCTGCCTAGAGAGAGCACTTCTGAGCAGGCACAGGAGCCCAGGGATACACGGGAATTTGTGCTCCAAAAACAGAAGCCCTTGGTGCTTCAAGGTGTATCATGTGGCAATGTCTCTGCAACTGACAGTGCTCTGAGTGCCCATCCAGAGACAAAGGCCCTTGGTGGATCTAAACCAAGGGCAGAGACACACTGTGAACTTTTAAGTCAACAATGGCATTGCTTTTTCTGAAGTCTAGGCTGGATGCAGTTCAAACACAGCATTCCCAGCCTTCGAGGAGCTCAGATCTGGTTGTGCAGGTGAGTTCTTCTCTTTTTATATCTAGGCAAAACTTCCTCCTACGTCTTTACCTTTACTCTGCCAGGCAGCTGAGTGTATAGGTCACCTCAAGAGAGCTTCTCCGCTGTCCATGGCATCTAGAAGGGATAAAGATGAACTGACAGGCACGATAACACATTTTCTGTCCTTCAGTCTTTGGGTTTCACTGCCCTGCAGCTTGGTACCTAACCTCATGGGAAAATTTAACTTGAATTACCAAGTCAAACTAACGCCACTGGCTTCAGCTGAGGAACTGGTATTCTGGGAACTGCACAGGTGGGGTACTGGGGTCACAGCTCCTATTCTGTATTCCCACACACCAAGTCACCTTGAAGAGGCATGAGGTGCCCTTGCCATGCCCAAGGCAAGGCAGATGCTTCACTTGGTCACTCTGATGCTTCTGCTCCTTCTCAGACACAGCCAAGCTGCCCCTGGCATGACAGCTTTCCTCAGCAAAAACACATGATAGGAAAACACTGGGGCTTTTATGAGCCCTTCTTCTGTGTCCTAGCTAAATACACAGATGCTATAACATGGAAAACCCAAGTACTTGAATTCTTGCCCTTTCTTTAAGCAAAAAGAAAAGAGGAGTCTTCAGGAGAAAGTGTCCACATCAATAAGCAGAATAAAGATGCAAGCCCTTAAAGGAGCTCTTTCTCTAACAAGGAGCAAGTATTCAAAGCCTTGTGTTTTCCATGTTGCAACACCAAAATTTTCCTGGCAGGAAAAAAATTCCTCACAACCCAAGACAAAACCCCCTCTTTCATAGTTGCAAAATCCCAGCAATTAAGGGAGGGGAAATACTGTACACACAAATAAAAGAATGAAAGTCCAAATTTAACTTGAATTTTAATGCTCTCAGTGATGCTACTGGAAGTCAAAATTAGCAGAAACGAGAAGAAAGCGAGCCACAAACCAACCCTTCTGCCTGCAAATCTGAAGTGACCTTTGATCTTCTTCTGGCCCCTCATGGTCAAGTACTCTCAAGTTTCCCAAGAACAAAAGCAGACAGCGTGCCCAGGGATGACTAGCAGCAAAAACCCTCAACAAAAATGGATGCAAGGATAGTTGGGAATGGTAGAGAAGTGTGGGGGAAGGAATGGAGCTTAGTGTGACTGCACAGAGTGCACACCAGGCTGAGCAGGTCAGGCTCAGCACAATGGCACCCCAGGATTGGGAGGAGGTCTTGGGAAGAGAACTAGAAGGGAAACTGAAGTTCAGGAGCAGAGAGACAACTTCTAGGCTGTGAGAGTTCCATCAAAATCATACCAAGGAAAGACAAGGGAAGGCAAGGGAGACCACAGCTTCCTTTCATCCAACACAATTCCTTGTTTGGCCAGTACCAATTGGCACAGCCCTGCTGTGCTAGCCCTACAGCTAAGAGTTCAGCTCAATTCCCCAGCAAGACCAAGCCATGTGCTTGTGGTCATCTCTTCATCTCCCTTTGCTTGACACCTTTTTATCTCTGTGTGGTGTATGAGCCATAAGAAATTCTGAACCATAGGGAATTTTTGCCATATTAAGGTATTCCACTTTTGGCTTCATGCCCAGATTAATAATTCCAGACTGGCATTTTTCAGCTACACCAAAAGAAATCCTCTGCTACTTACTAAGTTAGCCTGCACATAGAAAGGAGTGTGCAAAATTAATCACAGCAATGCAATTGAAGCAAGAGCTAATCAAAGCAGATTAACCCTGGCTCCCACTTAATTCTGACCTCATGTCTGTACAGCACCTGCGTCTGAGTGCATTTCACCAAGCACAGCACTGTGCTGATTTCAGCACAACCAGCAGGGAATAAACCAAGATAACATATGCAGAGAAAATTGGAGGCTGATCCTAAAGGCTCATTAGAGTGGTAGCAACCAAAAAATGGGCTAGCCACAAATTGCCTGTGCATCTTCGATTCAGGTTAAGTGTCCTCTTCCTCTCTACAACACTCATCTTCCAAACACTGCATCGATGGTCTTCTAAAGCTGGCATAAGGTCAACAATGAAGTGGTTTTGTGTAGTGGGAACATGAAAATGTCAAACACAGGTTCCCCAATCTTCTGGGAGGCAGGGAACTATCACAGACAGCTCTATGGTGAGAAAGATAGAGAGATGTGCCCAAGCCAAAGGACAAACAGATAAAAGAAGATTCTGAATGTAGCTTTTGCTCTGAAATCTACAATAAAACCCTATTCCATTTCAGTCTACTTTCAGTGAGAGATTTCAGCAAAGGAAAAAAATGCAAGTCAAACATTTCATCATGCAGACAGTTACTGCTGCTGAATAAATGTGGGTGAAGGTCTTCATGGAGGGAAGCCAAATGCTTTATGCAAGCTGGCTAGCAGAAGAGTTTTTTTACCATAATGCTGGTGCAGTTACAAAATGCTTGAGATGCTTTGTACAGAACTGCTCAGGCAATAGCCTGGAAAAAGGTGAGATGTTTCCCCTTTTTTTTTTAAATTTTTGTATGTCTATGAATTTGGTTTTTTAAAAATAATAACTTTTCTGAAAATTTCAAGACTTATGGAGCCCCTCAGGCTATATCCTCACTTGGTTGTTCATGTTCCAAAACTAGTTCCTATTTTAGGAGTGGGCAGCTGCTTCTGCCCACCAAGCACTGCATGAAACCACAGCTTTGGTCATAAAGAACAACTGGAAAAATCTAGGATTTATCATGATGCATCTTTACCCTACCTATCATGTTTATCCCTAAATTTATACCATAAGTGATTCATGTAGCCACAAGAGCAGCTGTCCCAGTATATGGTGACCTCTGAGAATGGCCTAGATCCATTTGCTGTGGCAAATGACAGGAGTGTTAGTCAGTCTTGGTGCTCTGTTTCTGCTGGGCAGATGGAAAAGGGTCTCATCCTTTTTCAGGCAAGAATATTGCCTTTCTTCCAAAATTGTGATTGTTCAAAGTCTCAAGTGGTAGGAAAGAGAAGCAGCTGCAGTTTCACTTCTCTGGCTGTAAAGCATCTGTGGGCACACAAGCTCTGGAAGTCAGGGATTCCCAACATGCCATTCAAGGCCACAGCTGAATTCAGTTCAGCCCAAGTACAGCCATTTAGGTCCATCTGAGCAAAAGAATGGCTTTTTCATTAAAACAAAGGGTTAAGTTTCTGCTTGCTGGAAAATAATTTCTTTTACCACTCCCACTCAGATCAGATTTGGTTGGGTTTTTTGTTGCTTTGATTTTTATTTTTTTTTGTCTAAGCAAAACCTCCAAATATTCAGTAAAAGATTACTTTTTTACTTTTCAATAATTTGCAAATTGCAGGTGTTTCAGCCAACACCAATATGTACAGTAGCTGGTACTGTTATATTAGAACATGAGGCATACCAGTGAATGCTCAGTTTAGAAGGCTGGATTCTGGACCCAAAATAATGAATTTAACTTACAGCAGGACTGGATTTTTCTTTTACACAGGACTGGCATTTTAAAAATAAGGGCACATGTATACATTATGAGATGGTTAACTGGGAGCAGATATCTCTGATGCAGATGACAAGAGACATTTCAGCACCAATTTCCCTGATACCAAATACTCCCTTCTACCAACTATTAACATATTCAAATGAACAAAAGTTGGCAAGATTAACTTGTTTTGTTGTTTTCTGGTTTTGAATAAAAGCTATTATTTTAAGGACTTTGTGGCCATTTGCACTCACTAAATTACACCTGATAAATCCTTAAGAGTACAACTAAGCTTCCAGACCAAGCTAACAGTCTGCACAGCAAACCCCAGCAGCACCCACATTCCACCACTCATGACAATCCCCCAGCTTTCTTTCCTCACACACCAATGACATTTGGGCAGAGACACCAAAGATCTTGAGCACTGTCTTGACAAGAGGGTGGAGGCAGAATTTGGCAGAAGTGGGGCTAAATTTAGTTCACTTATGTTACTGGCCACATACATGAACTTGGGTAATTAAGGAACAATATACTTGCTTTTATGTACTACCTAATTATTGTATAAAGCAAAACAAAACTTACAACATTTAAGAGCAAGATTGCCTTTGTAGCTGTGGTTAGTCTGCCTCATATGCAGCACAAATGAAAAAGCTGCAGCTTTAGGTAATACAGGGCTTTCTCCTCACCTCCTAATCAAGTCACTTTTCTTTTGTTTGGGTGGTAGTTGTTTTTCTTTTTGTTTATTTTGTTTTTTGGTCGGTGGTGTGTTTCACTGTTGTTTCATTTAAAAAAAATAAAAATAATAAAGGCAGTTTTTCTTCAAAGAACTGAGAACTCTTGGCTATAGCAATTCTCCAGGCTGGTACCCTACCCATGTTTAAATAAAACAGGTACTTAAATATTAAAACATCACACCTAAATAACTGGAGTTAAGAGCTATAACAATTCTTCACTGTCAGTGGACAACAGCTCTGATTAAATGCTCTTCCTGGTTATAACCCTCACTCACCCACCCATTGTCATTTCCTGGGGATGAGCTCAACCACAATGAAGTATGATTAGCAATATCCACCTCGCAGTGCTGTAATTCACCTGCTGCAGAAGCCTACTCCAAATGCCAATGAGGATCTGTAGTTTTCACAGGCCTGCAAGCAACATTTCTGTGCAGAGCTGGAACCAATGCAACTGGAAGGAGAAGCTTTGCTGGAGACCAGCTGCAGACCATGCACTGCAGCTCCAGTTCCTGCCAGCCCACAGCAGAGCAGGAGGGACACAGGGACACAACATGCTGTGGGGGACACTGAGGTCTATTTGCAATTATGCTCAGCTAGAAGGGAAAGGGGACTGTGAGAGCAGCTTGCTTACCATCAAGAATTGCCCATTGCCCATCTATTTCCGTGTGTTTCAGGTAGGAGTCTTCAATAGTTGGGTCATAGTCTGGCACAAAAATCTTCTGGAAAAACTGAATAGTGAGAGCACTCTTCCCAACACCACCATCTCCAACAACCACCAGCTTGTACGTGGGGAGGTTTTCGCTGGGAACGGCACTTGTAGCCATGCTTCCAGTGTGCTGAACCTGCTGGAGAGAGAGATCATCTCCAATCACTCAGCAGCAGTGACAAGAGGGCAACATGCACAAGGCAGCTTTTACCTGCTGCCTAACAAGTGAGGATGAAGGCAGCTCTGACTTAACACAATCCTTTTGGACAGGAGCAGCAGTATCAGCCCTTCCCAACAGCTCTGCTCCAGCTCAGAGCCAGCACTTACAAGCACAGACAACTCCACCACTGTGCCTCATTTACTCCTGCCTTGTGTACAAGCATTGCTGTCACCAAAAATGTACATGCAATGCCTATGCCATTGCATACCTTTTCTACAGGGGCTGGGTCCACATGGTAATGACAAAAATCACCCTGGCTCAGTGCACCTATCAAACTCCTGACAGTTTCCTGCTGCCAGTGACCAAATCCCATTGATAAATCAGAGTTGTGCTATTCCTTACTGCTTAACCCAAGGTATAGCAAGCATTAAATGGTCTAATACATCCCAGGGCCAGATCTGCAGGCACAGCTGGTGGTGATGGATGAAACAGGAGTTAAAGGTCCAATCCTAGCTCTGCCAGCAGACAAAAATGCACTTAGCTGCTTTCTTCTCTCTCACTTTCAAGTTTGGGAAATAAAAACAAGAAGGCAGCAGGCCAGGAACAACAGGTGGTTTTTGTTTTGCCTTTTTTTTTTTTTTTAAACCCCTCAACCCTGCCATGGCAGGAAGGCTGGTGCCTGTGGCTGTGACACAGCCAGGAGAGCAGCTTCCTGGCAGCATGGTCATACTGCTCCCCTCACCTCAGAGCTACCTCCTAAAAGAAAGATGAAAAAAATTCCCTGTCTGAAACTGGCCAACAGCACAGGTATGTGGAGAAAGAAGAGGCAGCCGGTTCTGACTGGCCCATTTCAACATTCAGCAGCAGAGACTGCTTGTTTAAGCCAGGCAGGAGGTTCTGTACTTATAAGTGCCCTGCATGCCCCATGAGTAGCAGTGATACTGACTCAGATCACAGAGGAAACAGGTGGCCATCTCCCAGATCTGAATGACCACTGCACTTTCTGGGAGGTCTTTCACACCCTTAAAGAGAAAAGAATAATAATAATAAAAAATCCATCATAATGATAAGGCCAAAGACAAGGCAGTTCATTTTCTTGGTATTGCTTTTCTAGAAAATACTGTTCAGTGCAGCAGCAGCTGTTGTGACAGTTTCTGCAGACACCTGCTCCCAGACACTCTGGTTTTGCTGGTGCCCCTTGGGCTGCAGGTGCTGGCTGGGCCCAGCACAGAGGTGGGACCAGGATTGCTCTGAGGGAACCTCCATAAACTGCTGGCTCCCAGCTTTTATCCCCACCAACCCACACAAGCTTTTGGAGGCTTTCCCAATAACCCTAGGGATCTCTTTTTTATTAAAAAGACAACTTTGACTTTCTCATTCTCAGAAACCACCAAGCAAGGGTGATGTGCTTTGTGTCACAGAAGCTGATTGTGTTCTTGTCAAAACACAATCTCCTAATCCAGGTTAGTTTCTGATTTCTATAGTCCCTTTCTCCAAAATCATTACTACAGTTTAATCCAAAGTACAGCACCATGAAAGCACTTTTGACCTGGCAAACTTGGGTGTCTCATGTTCTTTCAGCACAACTGGAGACCCCATAACACCTCTAAAAAGAAAAGCCCATAAGGAGGAGACAGAGGATAAGATTGCTGAGTCTAAGAAAAGCAAAGGCCTCTTGTCCATGTTGAGACAAGCCAACATTTTCAGAGCAAGAATCATGATCAAGTCTGCTTGTTTCTAAACCACCTGTGGAGGAAATTCTTGAGAATAGCAAGAATTTCCACTGCAAGCAACAGCTGCTGGATGGGGAGAAGACCAAACCAGCTGAGGTTTCAAATAGTCTTACTGCATTTCCTCACAACAACCCCAAGGAAAAATTTCTTAGCCCTATTTTTGAGTAAGCCACCTTCTCATATTTATGAGGCCGCACATCAATACACAGCACACTGGGCTGCAGAAAAACCTATGAATTTCAACTAAATGCCTTATTTTTGCTTGAAAGACCAAGTTTTATTTCTGTGTAATCCTTCTTGGGAGAGATGATCCTCACAGGCTTTTTGAGACACAGACCCTGGCTAAAGCTCTGCCCCTCCTTCCAACACATTTAAAGACAATTTTTTGCTTTGCCCATGGCCAAGATTTCACCCCATCCTTCTTTACATGGCAGAGCAGCTCCAGCCAGGCAGAATGAAAGACTGATTGTTACTGACATGGCGGGGGACAGTCTGTGGATGTGAAAAACATACTCCGTTTGTGCACGATTTTTGACCTCCTCACAAAACCACAAGCTGCTGCTTGGCAACGAGCATTACATTTTCACTGACATTTTGTGCCAGCCCTTTAACCCGCTCCTAAGCGGCCTCAAGCTTATCTTGCATGAAATGCTCCCCAAAGTACTAGGATAATGTTTAGCCCATTGTACAAACTGTGTCTCTGCCCAGCATGCTTATCGGCTGAATCGGCATGACCGAAGTTTGGTCATGCTGTGTGTCTGAACCGCCAGACTCTGTGTTACGTAGCCTGGGGAAAACAGCAAGAAATGAACTGAAAAAAAGAAAAAAAGAAATTGAAAAAAAATCAAGAACTGTAGGCTGGTTTGTTGAGCACAATTCCCCATATTTTAGGTGATGCTAACACAACAGATGAAAACCTTCCACCTGCCCTAATAACCAGAGCAAGAAGACAACTCATGCCTTGACAAAATTATAAACTTAACCAGCTCATGATTCAAACCTTTAAAACAACATATATCATTTCCTGGAAAAGATTAAACATTCCCAAAGGTGCATAGAGCTACAGGCAAGTGCAAGAGACTTGGGCTGATTTTCATGTGTTTTTGGCAAGAGTACTGACACAGTCCTCCTCAGATGGGAGTAAACGTGTTTGCTGTAGATCTGACTGGGAAAAGTGAAGCACAAATGTTTTTATCTATTGTCTGAATACAAAGCAGCATGTGGTAATACACTAATAAGCCCTGATGATAATCATCTTACAATTTATATAGTTATTTATTTAGAAGGAGCCAAGAGAAGGATCTGTACCCTACGAATGCCATCAGGGTTTAGTCACTGGAAGGAAGCTGATTTATACAACCATCTTCATATACACTGGCAAGACTGGTGGCCTAACAGCACAAGCCAGTAATGCTGAGACAGAAATGTGGCTACTTCTGGGGTAGGTGGATGGGAAGAAAAAAAGAAACATTGATCCAAGGGTGTCATTGAGGCTGAGTGAGCCTCCTCAGCAAAAAGTATTTTTTTTTAGGAGGCAGAATAAAGCGCATAAAACCCCATCTACCTGTCTAGACATGGAGATGGAGTGTAAGGGCTGAGGTATCCCCTTGGAGCAGCTGAGTAACATAAAACCACCAACTTCAGCTTAGTTTGTATGACTGGCCCACAAAATGTAGGTAGCATATCTAATCCCCACCCTCATTACAAAACTTGCCCTGAATGCAAGTGGGTCTGAACAGAGTTGTGGCCACAAAAGACAACAATAAAAGATAAAATGGACTCCAGATAGTTGATATTTGATGTCCCAGCACCCCCTTCCCTGGTTCCTGCTCTGCTGTCCTCGAGGCTGAGCTCCCAGGGCGAAGCCTTTACAGGTCAGCAAGCTCAGAACCAAGCCCTGGATTTGTAGGGGAGGTTAGCACAATTAAAGACACCGGCTCCCTGACTGAGAAGACCAGCATGACAGTGATTTACAGTCTCCATGGCAACATGCAACACAAATTGCTTAATTCTGTTATGAAACCTCCAGAAAAAGCTACAGCAGGGCCTGTGTGGGAACTACCAAGCTCCCTCCTCCTCTGCTGCAGTTCAGACAGCTTCAGGGAGCTTATGTCCACTTCAGCAATAGGCTGTGATTTAGCACATATTAATGTATAAGCATGCATGCTGATGATTCCATCAACCCATGGCCAAGGCAATTTTCCTATCATCAGCTTGTTTTGGTCCACGGCTCCTCACCCATGGCCTGCCAGAACTCTGCTTACCTGAGGACGCCAATCTCACCTGAGGAACACAATCAGCCACCGAGGCTGCCAACTACTCCTACAGCTGCAATTAAGAATTCTTCCTCTACCCACAGCTCACTCGATTACACCCTTTTACCCGGCCACTTTGTAAGCATTAGCAACTCCATGCAGTGCCTGCAGGGCTGAAACTCTGCAAAATCTGAACACTTCCCTCTCTGTTCCTCTTGCAGACTGCTGGCTGCAGCCACACAACCACCGCGACACACCCAGAGACGCTAGCCAGGTACCAAAATAGTTCAGCCCGATGCGTTGTAGGCAATCCCTTGGGCTGGGAACTAAGAATCCTTGAAAGACAGGACATGCCCTTTTAGGCGGCTGCTGCTTCCCTTGAGTCATGCTGATCAGGACTGAATGAACTTCAGGAATTTCTCCCTCAAGTAGGCATGACCATGTCCCAAACCTTCAGGAGCCAAAGGACTCGTAGGTGTATGAAAACCCACTGCTAATTATTACTAAATAAAGACTATTTACTCTTAGCCAAGTTTTCTCCAGTCTGTCAGATTTCCTTCCCAGTCAATGCCTCCAAAAGGAGGCACTGAACAGAAGCTGGACCGTGTTCCAGTCTTCAGTGGGAAGTCAGCATGGAACAGATCTGTCATGCAGGAAGCCAGTGTCTGATGTCTTTTGTAGTTCTGGCAGTAAGTTTTTCAAAAACCTAAGTGCAATTTCAATTCTCTGAGGTTTTCTAAGAAGAAGAATTCTAACAGGTGCTCCCAACTCCCATCAGCTTCCGGATCTGATGGAGCCCAGTACCTGGGAAGACCTGCACAGGAAATTACAGGCATTTCCTTTTGGAGCAGTGATCAAAGCACTATCAGATTGCTACTAAAAGGGAGAATAAAACCCAACAAAACAAAAACCTTAAACTAACCGTATTTTTAAAATAAAATCCTCCACCAAGCAATAAAGACCTGCAATTGGCTGGGCTTTGAATGTG